GGATGGATGATGGATGGATGATGGATGGATGGATGGATGGATGATGGATGGATGGATGGATGGATGATGGATGGATGATGGATGGATGGATGGATGGATGGATGGATGATGGATGGATGGATGATGGCTGGATGGATGGATGATGGATGGATGATGGATGGATGATGGATGGATGATGGATGGATGGATGATGGATGGATGATGGATGGATGATGGATGGATGAATGGATGGATGGATGATGGATGGATGGATGGATGGATGGATGGATGGATGATGGATGGATGGATGATGGATGGATGGATGATGGATGGATGGATGATGGATGGATGGATGGATGATGGATGGATGGATGGATGGATGATGGATGGATGATGGATGGATGATGGATGGATGAATGGATGGATGGATGATGGATGGATGGATGATGGATGGATGGATGGATGATGGATGGATGGATGGATGGATGGATGGATTATGAGGCAGAAAGCTAATCATTAAATCTTTCTATTGGGATCAACTAAACCAGACTGGAAGTTTAGGATCAGACTCTAATTTTAAACAACATGCTGATTATATTGATAAAAATCTACTTAAATGTTGAAGTGCAGTGAGGAAATAATTCAGGGTAAAATCTACCATAGTTGCTTCCGTTTGCTAAGAATAACATTCTATGTTTAGATAGATTGCATTCCCCTGACCAAGACGGCTGCTGAGCTGACGCAATATTCCAACTAACAGCAGCCAATCAATATGACCCTTGATCAGCGGACATACGGTTGTTTTGAGGATCGAGTGACGTCACTTCCGCCACCAAGCATCCCCAGTTAGCCCAGGGACTAGCTTCCAGCTAAGCGCTGCGGTGTCTGTCATCCCCGAGCAGCGGAAGGCAGCCCGGGTCTGTAGAGACGAAGAGCCCCGCTGAGCCCCGCAGCGCCATCATGGACCTGACCGGGACAAGCAGCAGAGCTGACGGGGAGGCGCTGGAGCTGGAGCCCGAGGAGGAGCTCCTGTGCTCGGTCAGCGACATCACGGAGCACCTGAAGAGGAACATGGCGGTGGTTCTGGAGGCCGCCCAGGTGGAGATCCGGAGGGTGGTCGCTGTCCGGATTCAGGTCCTGAAAATGGAGCTGCGCGATAAAAACAGGGAAATAGAGAAGCTGAAGGCCGAGCTGGAGGCGGCCCAGGCGGATGGGAGAGACCCGGAGCCCTCCTCAGAACCCGGACCCATCAAATTCCCCTTCAGTCCTGGATCCAAGCAGAGCAGCCTGGATCCCCGGAGGTCCAAGCCGCTCCTCCCGGAGGTGAAGAGGGAGAACATCGATGCCATCTGCGGCTACCTGATGAAGGACAAGAACTCCAGGGCTGGAGGGGACATGGACCCGGAGCTGCTGGGCCAGGAGCAGGACATCCACTCCCCGAAGCTGTGGTCCGACAGCCGGACGGAGGCTCCCCGGTCTGTACCGGGAGACCCGGACTCCACCTCAGACTACATGTTCAGCAGCAGGAGGATGTTCGACTTTGACTGGACCGGACCCGGACCCTTCTCCTCCCAGCTCAGAGGTACAGCAGCAGGGTGGGGGTTCTGTATCAGGGAGGAGGTTCTGTAGCAGGGAGGAGGTTCTGTAGCAGGGAGGAGGTTCTGTAGCAGGGAGGAGGTTCTGCAGCAGGGAGGAGGTTCTGTAGCAGGGAGGAGGTTCTGCAGCAGGGTGGGGGTTCTGTAGCAGGGAGGAGGTTCTGTAGCAGGGAGGAGGTTCTGCAGCAGGGAGGAGGTTCTGTAGCAGGGAGGGGGTTCTGTAGCAGGGAGGAGGTTCTGCAGCAGGGAGGAGGTTCTGTAGCAGGGAGGAGGTTCTGCAGCAGGGTGGGGGTTCTGTAGCAGGGAGGAGGTTCTGTAGCAGGGAGGAGGTTCTGCAGCAGGGAGGGGGTTCTGTAGCAGGGTGGGGGTTCTGTAGCAGGGTGGGGGTTCTGTAGCAGGGAGGGGGTTCTGTAGCAGGGAGGAGGTTCTGCAGCAGGGAGGAGGTTCTGTAGCAGGGTGGGGGTTCTGTAGCAGGGAGGGGGTTCTGTAGCAGGGAGGAGGTTCTGTAGCAGGGAGGAGGTTCTGTAGCAGGGAGGAGGTTCTGCAGCAGGGTGGGGGTTATGTAGCAGGGTGGGGGTTCTGCAGCAGGGAGGAGGTTCTGTAGCAGGGTGGGGGTTCTGTAGCAGGGAGGGGGTTCTGTAGCAGGGAAGAGGTTCTGTAGCAGGGAGGAGGTTCTGTAGCAGGGAGGAGGTTCTGCAGCAGGGTGGGGGTTCTGTAGCAGGGAGGGGGTTCTGTAGCAGGGAAGAGGTTCTGTAGCAGGGAGGAGGTTCTGTAGCAGGGAAGAGGTTCTGTAGCAGGGAGGAGGTTCTGTAGCAGGGAGGAGGTTCTGCAGCAGGGTGGGGGTTCTGTATCAGGGAGGAGGTTCTGTAGCAGGGAGGAGGTTCTGTAGCAGGGAGGAGGTTCTGTAGCAGGGTGGGGGTTCTGTAGCAGGGTGGGGGTTCTGTAGCAGGGAGGAGGTTCTGTAGCAGGGAGGAGGTTCTGCAGCAGGGTGGGGGTTCTGTAGCAGGGAGGGGGTTCTGTAGCAGGGAGGGGGTTCTGTAGCAGGGAAGAGGTTCTGTAGCAGGGAGGAGGTTCTGTAGCAGGGTGGGGGTTATGTAGCAGGGTGGGGGTTCTGCAGCAGGGAGGAGGTTCTGTAGCAGGGAGGAGGTTCTGCAGCAGGGTGGGGGTTCTGTAGCAGGGAGGGGGTTCTGTAGCAGGGAAGAGGTTCTGTAGCAGGGAGGAGGTTCTGTAGCAGGGTGGGGGTTCTGTAGCAGGGTGGGGGTTCTGTAGCAGGGTGGGGGTTCTGTAGCAGGGAGGAGGTTCTGTATCAGGGAGGAGGTTCTGCAGCAGGGAGGAGGTTCTGCAGCAGGGAGGAGGTTCTGTAGCAGGGAGGAGGTTCTGTAGCAGGGAGGAGGTTCTGCAGCAGGGAGGAGGTTCTGTAGCAGGGAGGAGGTTCTGGAGCAGGGAGGAGGTTCTGCAGCAGGGAGGAGGTTCTGCAGCAGGGAGGAGGTTCTGCAGCAGGGTGGGGGTTCTGTAGCAGGGAGGAGGTTCTGCAGCAGGGAGGAGGTTCTGCAGCAGGGAGGGGGTTCTGTAGCAGGGAGGGGGTTCTGTAGCAGGGAGGAGGTTCTGTAGCAGGGAGGAGGTTCTGTAGCAGGGAGGAGGTTCTGCAGCAGGGTGGGGGTTATGTAGCAGGGTGGGGGTTCTGTAGCAGGGAGGAGGTTCTGCAGCAGGGAGGAGGTTCTGTAGCAGGGAGGGGGTTCTGCAGCAGGGTGGGGGTTCTGTAGCAGGGAGGGGGTTCTGTAGCAGGGAAGAGGTTCTGTAGCAGGGAGGAGGTTCTGTAGCAGGGTGGGGGTTCTGTAGCAGGGTGGGGGTTCTGCAGCAGGGAGGAGGTTCTGCAGCAGGGTGGGGGTTCTGTAGCAGGGTGGGGGTTCTGTAGCAGGGTGGGGGTTCTGTAGCAGGGAGGAGATTCTGCAGCAGGGTGGGGGTTCTGTAGCAGGGAGGAGGTTCTGCAGCAGGGTGGGGGTTCTGTAGCTGGGTGGGGGTTCTGTAGCAGGGAGGAGGTTCTGCAGCAGGGTGGGGGTTCTGTAGCAGGGTGGGGGTTCTGCAGCAGGGAGGAGGTTCTGCAGCAGGGAGGAGGTTCTGTAGCAGGGAGGAGGTTCTGCAGCAGGGTGGGGGTTCTGTAGCAGGGAGGAGGTTCTGCAGCAGGGTGGGGGTTCTGTAGCAGGCTGGGGGTTCTGCAGCAGGGAGGAGGTTCTGCAGCAGGGAGGAGGTTCTGTAGCAGGGAGGAGGTTCTGCAGCAGGGTGGGGGTTCTGCAGCAGGGAGGAGGTTCTGCAGCAGGGTAGAGGTTCTGTAGCAGGGTGGAGGTTCTGTAGCAGGCTGGGGGTTCTGCAGCAGGGAGGAGGTTCTGTAGCAGGGAGGGGGTTCTGCAGCAGGGTGGGGGTTCTGCAGCAGGGAGGAGGTTCTGCAGCAGGGTAGAGGTTCTGTAGCAGGGAGGAGGTTCTGCAGCAGGGTGGGGGTTCTGTAGCAGGGAGGAGGTTCTGCAGCAGGGTGGGGGTTCTGTAGCAGGGAGGAGGTTCTGCAGCAGGGTGGGGGTTCTGTAGCAGGGTGGGGGTTCTGTAGCAGGGAGGAGGTTCTGCAGCAGGGTGGGGGTTCTGCAGCAGGGAGGAGGTTCTGCAGCAGGGTGGGGGTTCTGCAGCAGGGAGGAGGTTCTGCAGCAGGGAGGGGGTTCTGTAGCAGGGAGGGGCTTCTGTAGCAGGGTGGAGGTTCTGCAGCAGGGAGGAGGTTCTGCAGCAGGGAGGAGGTTCTGCAGCAGGGAGGAGGTTCTGCAGCAGGGGGGAGGTTCTGCAGCAGGGAGGAGGTTCTGCAGCAGGGAGGAGGTTCTGCAGCAGGGAGGAGGTTCTGTAGCAGGGAGGGGGTTCTGCAGCAGGGTGGAGGTTCTGCAGCAGGGTGGAGGTTCTGCAGCAGGGTGGAGGTTCTGTAGCAGGGAGGAGGTTCTGTATCAGGGTGGAGGTTCTGCAGCAGGGAGGGGGTTCTGCAGCAGGGTGGAGGTTCTGCAGCAGGGAGGAGGTTCTGCAGCAGGGTGGAGGTTCTGCAGCAGAGAGGGGGTTCTGCAGCAGGGAGGGGGTTCTGCAGCAGGGTGGAGGTTCTGTAGCAGGGTGGAGGTTCTGTAGCAGTGAGGAGGTTCTGCAGCAGGGAGGAGGTTCTGCAGCAGGGAGGAGGTTCTGCAGCAGGGTGGAGGTTCTGCAGCAGGGAGGAGGTTCTGCAGCAGGGAGGAGGTTCTGCAGCAGGGAGGAGGTTCTGCAGCAGGGAGGAGGTTCTGCAGCAGGGAGGAGGTTCTGTAGCAGGGAGGAGGTTCTGCAGCAGGGTGGAGGTTCTGCAGCAGGGAGGAGGTTCTGCAGCAGGGTGGAGGTTCTGCAGCAGGGTGGAGGTTCTGTAGCAGGGTGGAGGTTCTGTAGCAGGGAGGAGGTTCTGCAGCAGGGAGGAGGTTCTGTAGCAGGGTGGAGGTTCTGCAGCAGGGTGGAGGTTCTGTAGCAGGGAGGAGGTTCTGCAGCAGGGTGGAGGTTCTGTAGCAGGGTGGAGGTTCTGTAGCAGGGAGGAGGTTCTGTAGCAGGGAGGAGGTTCTGTAGCAGGGAGGAGGTTCTGTAGCAGGGTGGAGGTTCTGTAGCAGGGTGGAGGTTCTGTAGCAGGGAGGAGGTTCTGTAGCAGGGTGGAGGTTCTGTAGCAGGGTGGAGGTTCTGTAGCAGGGTGGAGGTTCTGTAGCAGGGAGGAGGTTCTGCAGCAGGGAGGAGGTTCTGTAGCAGGGAGGAGGTTCTGCAGCAGGGTGGAGGTTCTGTAGCAGGGTGGAGGTTCTGTATCAGGGAGGAGGTTCTGTAGCAGGGAGGAGGTTCTGTAGCAGGGAGGAGGTTCTGTAGCAGGGAGGGGGTTCTGTAGCAGGGAGGAGGTTCTGTAGCAGGGAGGAGGTTCTGCAGCAGGGAGGAGGTTCTGTAGCAGGGAGGAGGTTCTGTAGCAGGGAGGAGGTTCTGTAGCAGGGTGGAGGTTCTGTAGCAGGGAGGAGGTTCTGTAGCAGGGAGGAGGTTCTGTAGCAGGGAGGAGGTTCTGTAGCAGGGAGGAGGTTCTGCAGCAGGGAGGAGGTTCTGTAGCAGGGAGGAGGTTCTGTAGCAGGGAGGAGGTTCTGTAGCAGGGTGGAGGTTCTGTAGCAGGGAGGAGGTTCTGTAGCAGGGAGGAGGTTCTGTAGCAGGGTGGAGGTTCTGCAGCAGGGAGGAGGTTCTGTAGCAGGGTGGAGGTTCTGCAGCAGGGTGGAGGTTCTGTAGCAGGGAGGAGGTTCTGCAGCAGGGTGGAGGTTCTGTAGCAGGGTGGAGGTTCTGTAGCAGGGAGGAGGTTCTGTAGCAGGGAGGAGGTTCTGTAGCAGGGTGGAGGTTCTGTAGCAGGGTGGAGGTTCTGTAGCAGGGAGGAGGTTCTGTAGCAGGGAGGAGGTTCTGCAGCAGGGAGGAGGTTCTGTAGCAGGGAGGAGGTTCTGCAGCAGGGTGGAGGTTCTGTAGCAGGGTGGAGGTTCTGTAGCAGGGAGGAGGTTCTGTAGCAGGGTGGAGGTTCTGTAGCAGGGTGGAGGTTCTGTAGCAGGGTGGAGGTTCTGTAGCAGGGAGGAGGTTCTGCAGCAGGGAGGAGGTTCTGTAGCAGGGAGGAGGTTCTGCAGCAGGGTGGAGGTTCTGTAGCAGGGAGGAGGTTCTGTAGCAGGGAGGAGGTTCTGTAGCAGGGAGGGGGTTCTGTAGCAGGGAGGAGGTTCTGTAGCAGGGAGGAGGTTCTGCAGCATCCATCCATCTTCTTCCTCTTATCCGGGGTCGGGTCATGGGGGTAGCAGCTTCAGTAGGGAGGCCCAGACGTCCCTCTCTCCAGCCACTTGGTCCAGCTCCTCTGGGGGAATCCCATGGTGTTCCCAGGTCAGCTGAGAAACATAGTCCCTCCAGGGTGTCCTGGGTCTCCCCCCTGGTGGGACGATCCTGGAACACCTCACCAGGGAGACGTCCAGGAGGCATCCTCAACTGGCTCCTCTCCATGTGGAGGAGCAGCGGCTCTACTCTGAGTCCCTCCCGAATGACTGAGCTCCTCCCCCTATCTCTAGAGTTCAAAGCTCCTGACCATAGATGAGGGTAGGAACGTAGATCCACCAGTGAAGAGAGAGCTTTGCTTTTTGGCTCAGGTCTCTCTGAACCACAGACAGCGCACGCCTCACAGCAGACGCCGCACCAATCCGCCTATCCATCTCTCTTTATTTTTTATTCCTTTTATTTTTTTTTCCTATAGCAGCTTTTTAAACATTTTTCAGGCAGCAGGTCTTTCCAAGGACCTAAAACATGAATCATTTCGCTGTTCGATCATTTTAATCCCGTTTTATTCTCCCGTCCTGTTAGAATGTCATAAACATGCTGGGGTTTAGATTCCAGCAGGGGGCGCCGTGGGCTGGATGCTCTAGATATTGGATCTAGAGCAGCTCTCATATTTCTATTTTAAACATTTACTGTTTCAGCTGCATTAAATACCTTAAGAACAAAGAACTTTTTTCTAAACATTATTAAACTCATTTGTTGAATAAACCAGAAGAAGAACTGAATATAAAAGATGCTGAGCAGAGATGTAGATCTATCATTCATAGACGGGTAACAATCAGAACATTCTGGCTGACGGTTTTTACTGCGTTAAAGCTGATGACTCATCGCCATGGTAACGGATGATCGTTGCCTCGGTAACAGGAGGTGATCTTCATGGTCCTGGAAAGTTTTGGAACTTTAACCAAGTTAAATTATAAATGACCAATGAAATATTTAAATATTCTATAAAATAAAAAAAAGTTGAAATTACTGAATTCAACTCAAAGTTCTGAAAACATTTCGTAGAAATAATTACTTTCATTGTGTAGATAAAGCCAGAGTGAGGGCTGTATTTCTAGGGGCCCCCAGGCTGGTTGTGTTTGGGGCCCCTGCTGTAGAAACAGTCGTTCACCTTTGACCTCTCTCCTCTCCCGGCAGACATGAAGCCGCCTGAAGGTGAAAACTCGCAGAGCGCTGAGCTGGAGGATGAGGAGGGTGAGGAAGAGCTGTGCAGGAGGGTGGAAGGAGGGGGGAGGAAGATCTCTGAGGGCCCCAGCAGAGAGCAGAGCTCCCCAGGGATGGAGGAGAGCGCCTCAGAGGGCCACCTGGACGCACCTGAGACAGGTGAGGACGAACGCGCTCTGATTGGTGGGATTAGAACCAGAGAGCAGGAGTCAGGTTTCCCTGAAAGCTGAGAAAATGTTTAAAAAAAGGAAATTCATTTCATAAAATTCCAGCTTTACTGAATTAATTTCCTTAGATTCATAAATTCTGAGGAATTAGATTCTCACCTCATTGATTAAAATAATAACAATGTGGAAATTATTGTTACGTAACGATAAATAAAGTGAGTAAAACAGCATTTCTAAAGCAGAATGACATCACAGAACCAAAAACAATCAAACCAGGTTTTAATCAGAGACCATCCAAGATGGCCGCCAGCTTTCATCATGATCGTCATGCTGCCCGGTTAGCTGATCATCAGGGAAACAAAAAACGAAAACAAAGAAGAAAAAATGGCATCTTTTTAAACGTTTCTATAAAACAATAATGGAACAAAATTCCCTCCATATATGACGGTTTGCACAATGTGTACGTTTGATTAACATTTATAAATAAATATAAATATAAGGGTTAAAACTGGTCTTAATTATCTCAACTTCATCATTTTTTTGTTCTTAAAAATATAAAACATGGATTTAAAGAACATTTTCAGGAGGATTGTTTATATAAAACACAGAATTATGACTCCTTTATTTTTTATTTTAAGGTTTTATTCTATTAAATTAATCTAGAAATCTAAAGCTGAAAAAGGAAAATAAAGTTTTCTACAGCATCTGAAAGATCATCCAAAGCTTTTATGGTAACAATAAATGAAGGTTTTCTTCTTCTACTGTTTAAATTCAGTCAAATCTGTTCCTTCCAGGTCACCCCTACATCTGCTCGCTGTGTGGAACCTTCTGCCCAGACTCCGTGTTTCTGGAGGATCATATTAAACTGATGCACCAAGACGCCGATGAAGCCCAGGCCCCCAGGGGCCCCCAGTTCCTGTCATTCGCCGAGCCTGCGGTGGAGGACGGCAGCGGGGACCCTGCAGGGATCAGGATGAGTGAGGTCAGCCCGGGGTTCAGCGCCGCTGCCAGCAGGGGTCCCGGTGTGAAGAAGGAGATCAAAACGGAGGGCGGTTACCAATGCGGGGACTGCGGCCGCCATTTTAACTACCTGGGCAACCTGCGGCAGCACCAGCGCATCCACACCGGAGAGAAACCGTTCGCCTGTCCGGAATGTGGCGAGAGGTTTCGCCACGCTGCCCGCTTGAAAAGTCACAGGCTGGTCCACAGCGGCGCCCAGAGCCCCTTCCCCTGTCCGCAGTGTGGGAAAGGTTTCTCCGTGCTCTCCGGCCTCAAAAGGCACCAGCGGGTGCACACCGGGGAGAGTCCGTACGCCTGTCCCGAGTGCGGCCGCTGCTTTAAGGAGCTGGGGAACCTGTACACCCACCAGCGGATCCATAGCGGAGCCACACCCTACTGCTGCCAGCAGTGCGGACGCTGCTTCCGCCATCTAGGGACGTATAAGAGTCACCGCTGCTCCTCGGTGCCGTAGCCGCCGCTCCAGGACACCGGTCGGAACTTCAAGCCGTGGGATGCTCTCCGTGGAAGCGATCCAGAGGTGATGGTGGAGCGAAGCGTCCTGCAGACATTAAAGACTTCCTGGGTTCCTTCCTTTATAGACGGGAGAAGTTCTGAATGCTGAGAGGTTTCCGTCTGTGATTATGTTGGGAATCTTTTATTTATGATCTGTGTGAAAGAGCTAATTTTATGGAGGAAATGCTAATAAATGTTTGAACCGGCCTTAGATATGACAGACCTTCTCTTTTTACTTTCAGCCGTTTGTTAAATGTAGCGAGACGCTCCCTGATGCACGCCCGCTGACAAACGATGAGTCCTAAATAAACCTGATGAGACCAAGAGGAGTTTCTCCTGGGAGCGATTTTATCTGTGAAAATTGATCTAAACATGAGTAAAGAAATTCAGCGTATTTTGCCTTTATTTGAGCAGGTAAGTGTCCTAGCCTCCAGAATGCGATCAGGAGATACGGCCATATTTACGGATATGAGAATTTTTCTATCCGTGTTTAGAAACAGCGATACTGAAGGTGAGTTAGTTGCCAGAGCGATTCGTAAAGAACGAAGAGGCTACGTTCACGCTGCAGGCCTTCATGCTCAATAATCTTTATGTGAAATCGGATTCTTCTGCGTAGTTATTTCCTAATAAATGCGACTCCTATGCGATCTCTTGTGTGAACTGAATTCTTGCAACTTAACACCCTATTTACACTAGCCTTTAGAAACCGTGCTGAGAACGATCGGAGCATGGTAACCAAGGTAACTGTCGGCTGTAAATGGATCGCAGCTGAACCGGACCCTTCCCGACCTAACGAACCGCGCTAGCATGGTACCAGGTCATCATTAGGACTCGGAGCGGTTCAGTTCTGGCTCGGTTCTCTGATAACAAAGAGCGCAGATCACAAAATCTTACGGTCAGCTGACTCATTTCGCGGGTTTTCCACCGTGTCCGGATTTGTAACTGTTAGCAACACAAACTTCCTCTCAGCATATTAACAACAAATGGCATCAAATGAACGCGGTACGACATGGGATGATGCCCGGACCGAGAACGATGCCTTCTTCACATTCCGCTAACAATGAAATATCACTGATATAAACAAACATAAGTTCCTGAATGTTATGGGTGCCGACATTTTGGTTTGCGTAATTCCCGCCTTGAGAGCTGTAGTGTAGTGGACCGCCACTAGGAGGCAATGAACTGTGCTAGCGTGATGGGAGAACGCTCGTAAGAACGAAGCTCGGCACGGTTAAATGATCCGAGCTCGGTCCGAACGGTTCGTTTTCAGAGGGGTAGTAGAAACGGGCAGTTGGATTGGACCGCACGCACAGCAGACGACGCACTGATGTCACATGTGGCGACCGTTCTGTGTTTACGGACGGAAACAGGGATGGTAGCGCTGGAGCGTTTTTAGCGATCGTTCTTTTCTTTCCCAGCCTCAGCCAGTCAACTCAATCTTTTCGAGAAGGTTGAAAATAAATACTTGTCTCGGACAAAGTGACCTTTATCGGGTATTAATGATGTTGAAGATGGATGAATGCGACATGGCCGTTCAGACACAGGTCAACTTGGAAAAGATCGGATTCATATCGGATTCAGGACCACAGAGCCATGGCTACGTTCACAAAGCAGCCTGAAGTGTCCCAAATGCAATTTGTTTTGCCCATATTGCGACCTGGATACGATCTTTTCATGACAATCTGAACGACACAGATCCGATCTTCCTGGGCTGCTTGGCTCGGTGGTCCTGATGTTGAATCATCTTAAAAAGATGAGTTTTTAAGGTTGAGAAAGATTCTAGATGCGCTCCGGCGCTACTGTCAATGTCAAATTTATTTATCTAGCACTTTAAAAACGGCTATAAAACTGCACCAAAGTGCTTTACAGGAAAGACAACAACATCAAAATAAAACAGAATGTGAAACACTGCTTCAATTAAAAGCCGAAGAATAAAAATAAGTTTTAAGAAGCGATTTAAAAACCATCCACAGCATGTTCTGTAAAAACAGAGCAGGCCGGCTACCTGTGACATCATCGCGTCCTCCACTGCGCATACGGGAGACTGAAGCTGCATGAATGCAGTTTACACAGGAGGTCAGCATCGAGGCCTGCGGTGTGAAGGAAGTCTAAAGGGCCGCGGTCGACTGGAAAACATGGGATCTGAGTTGTTCAGACTGGCCATCCAAATAAGCTGTAGCTCCTGCTGTTCCTCCTTCCATGGGTCCTCAGTAGATCTATATCCAGACTTTAGACTCCTGGATGGAAATACATGGATGATGCTGGACAAACTGGGACTGCAGCCTTTATCAAAACGTTAGCCACATGTTGCGGAAGGCTGAAGTTCCCGTTATAAACCCAAAACGTCTTGGACTGAAAAAACATGAAGTTTTTTTTCTATGCAAGCAGATTTCCTGGTTTTATTCTATTCAGTTTATTTCTATAGCTCCAATTCCCATCATGTCATCTCAGGTCACTGTATAGATCCAGATCATCCAGTCAGATTGATTCAAAGTTTTCTATCTAAGGAAAACCAGCTGATTGCATCGACTCATTGACTCTTCAGCAATCCCTCACACTAAGCATGCTTGTAGCGACAGTGGAGAGGAAAAACTCCCTTTGAACAGGAAGAAACCTCCAGCAGAACCAGGCTCAGTGTGAGCGGCCATCTGCTGAGGCCCACTGGGGTTCAAGGAGACAGAAGCAGACATAGAAAAAGAAGCATAGATACAAAAGGCAACTGTCAACCAGCTCCACAGGCGGCCCCGTCCAGGAAACACACAGCCAGGCAGACGAGCTCCGAGCCAGCTCCCATGTCAGAGGATGAAGAGAGCACATCCAGTTAGTCACAGTCAGAGAAACAGGACTACACTGGAAAACAGGCCAAGCTCCAACATCTAGAAACAAAGGTGTTGATGGCAGCAGCACAGCTGATATTTCTCTCCAGGATGGAGTCACAGCCAAACAGGAACAGACCAGATGAAGCTACTATGAGAAAAAGCAGAGAGAGCAGAACGTTAGAGATTGAACTAACAGATTCTGCAGAGTGGGAGAACAGAGAGAGAATGAAGCAGAATGATGAAAAAGGGGTCCCTATGTCCTCCAGCAGTCTAAGCCTATAGCAGCAGAACTATAGAGATAGATCAGGATAACCTGAGCCACTCTAACTAGAAGCTTTATCAAAAAGGAAAGTTTTAAGCCTAGCCTTAAAAGTAGACAGGGTGTCTGCCTCACGGACTAAAACTGGTAGTTGGTTCCACAGGAGAGGAGCCTGATAACTAAAAGATCTGCCTCCCATTCTACTTTTAGAAATTCTAGGAACCACTAGTAAACCTGCAGACTGAGAGCGAAGTGCTCTGTTAGGAACATCAGGAACAATCAGATCTCTGATATCAGATGGAGAAGGACTGGGTTATTTACTTTGGCCTTTTTGGAAACACAGGAAGGAGCAATCAGCTAAGTGAGCTTAGTGCTTGGAAAAAATCTTTCATTCCTTTAGAGACAGCATGAAAAGTCAGCTGAGTACAAAACATAGAGAGGAAAACAAGAAGAAAAGGGACAAGAAGAGAGGGACACAACCTAGAACAGATAATGGATGTCTATTCTATTAACATTTCTACATCTGGAGAATGGGGCTGGGCCCCCTGCCTGTCTTTGCCTAGGGCCCCACGTTTCCTAAATCCGGCCCTGCCTGCATGTATAATATATAAATATAAGCAGAGAAGCAGATGGAAGTTATAAATAATCTTAGTTATTATTCTTATACTAAACTAATAAGAGATGAAACTAAAAATCTATATTTTTTTAATGGATCCCAGTAAATTTATCACTGTAACCATGGAAACCATCCCATCTAGTTAAACTTCTCAGCATCCCTCCATCCTTTCTTTAACAGATCAATATCTCAGATCCAGCTCCAGTTAATCTCAGTTTTAATCTCATTAATCTGGAGTTATCGCTGCTCCTTTGATGTGCGCCGCCTGGCTGCATGAAGTAGGCGGAGCTGCAGAGAGGAAGAGAAGCTGCAGAGGAAACCAGCGAGCAGCAGCCAGGAACACCCGCCGAACCGAACCGAACCGAACCATCAGAACCGTTCAGCAGATGGAGAGGAAGGACGGAAGCAGAGCGACCGGCGGCGCGTGGAGCCCGGATCCAGCCGCCACTTCCGGTTCTGATGCTGCGGACAGGTGGGCCTCAGAGCATCAGACTGGACCGGATCCAGCGGTTCCGGGTTCATCCAGAACCGCGGAGATTCTGGACCGGTTCTGCTCTCCGCTTACATCTTTTATTGATTTACTTCCGTTTATTGATTTAAAAGGTTTGAAGGAGAAAAGGTTCTGCTTCCGGTGGTTTCCGGTCCATCTGCTCTGGGTTCCGGCTCTGACCCCCCCCCCTCCCCCCCCTCCCCCCCTCCATTAATAATGAACATAACGGGTTAATAAATGATTTAATCTGAAAGCGGCTCGCGCGACTCTGCACCTCAAACCGGAAGTGATGACGTAGAGCATCAGATCTGACTGATTATTAATCCTGATCTTATTTATTCTCCTCTCAGGTGGAAATGATCAATAAGAATAATTAAACTTTATTTATCTCACACTGGAGAAATTCCCTCTCTGCATTCAACCTCTGGATTCATAGCTCTATGCTCTAACCACTAGGCCACCCCTCCCCCCTTACTGTGACACAGAAATGTTCACATAGATCCTCTGAGCTGCTGATCTCATTTAGGTTTGGCCCCATGAGGGCCCCATCCTGCAGGAGAACGGCCCTGTAGACCAGATCTGACTGATCTCTGTTTATTCCCTGGATTATTGATAGCTGCTGGTAGTACGGGGTTGGAATGAAGCCACCGGCCGCCATATTGGTACTCCCTAGTCAGACCGGTCGCGATCAGTGCGCTGCAGCATCAAACAACCATGATGTTCTTATTTTCAGGGACTGAAGACTTTTAAAATAGAGATAAATTCATCAGTTTGACGCAGACTGTTTCAGAGCATCAGTAGATTAACTTTAACTTAGAATAAATAAATAGACCAATCACATCGCAGAGTCATTATGACGTCTATAAATCATGTAATATAAAATATACAAATAAATCACAATAACATTAATGTGTTAATAATAATACAAAGTTAATTAATGATGAACATGTGATATGAATGGATTTATTGCGTTGCTATAGTAATTATATTTTACATATTATTTCAATATTTTACATAAACATTAAATTATAATTATGTTTCCTTTATTGCTGCAGTATTTTCCTCCTGAATGAAGGATCCTTCCTCTGAGGAGAGGAAATAGATCCGCTTAACCAATGAATGTCTGCCTCTGAGCGTCATTCATGAATGTTTTATAGTGATGGTCTGATCTGGTTAACCTTTATCTAGACGGCATCGCCTGCTTCTAGTCAGATCGGTTCTACAGTCACAGTCAGAATGATGGTTTGTTCCTCTAAGATTCTCTCAGATCCTCCTGAAAAACCAGGAAATGAGCCAAACTTTGTTCTGGTTTTACCTCCAGTTTCCAGGCTGATCATGAAACTGATTTTCTTTCTGTTATGTTACTTTATGTTTTATCTGCTGCAGCGATTTGGACAAAATAACTTTAAAAAACTAATTTATTTTCAAAGGGATGAAACTGATTAAACCAATCAATTAATTAATAAATTAATCAATCAATCAGTCATGAACCTCTTAAACAGCAGAGCTCAGCTGACAGGCTAAGCTAAGCTAACCAGGCTGCTGAATCCTGAGCTACGGCAGCCTTAAAGGACCAAATCAGGCAAATTCCACTTTCTTTTAGCCACTAAGGACATTTCACTTCTATTTACTTTATTTCTATAGCTGCAATTCCCATCATGTCATCTCAGGTCACTTTATAGATCCAGTTCAACCAGATCATCCAGTCAGATTGATTCAAAGTTTTCTATCTAAGGAAAACCAGCTGATTGCATCGACTCATTGACTCTTCAGCAATCCCTCACACTAAGCATGCTTGTAGCGACAGTGGAGAGGAAAAACTCCCTTTGAACAGGAAGAAACCTCCAGCAGAACCAGGCTCAGTGTGAGCGGCCATCTGCTGAGGCCCACTGGGGTTCAAGGAGACAGAAGCATTTAGCTCCATCGCTGCCTGCAAACGTTCTGCAGAACCAAAAATGTTCCTCTAGATCAGCGTTCTGCAACCTTTCATCTCCAGAGAGCCATTTTGCTCCGAGTCTTACCAAGAAAAAGTTGTCTAGAGCCGCCAAGTACAGGACTTTTTAGAAAAACAACCTATTTATTTGTTTTTATCTTGTTTAGTAAATAAGTTTCCATCTTAAACAACCAACAGCTTTTTTTAGCCTTTAAAATATTATTAAAAACATGAATTCCAAGCTAATTAAATGGAAAACGGCTCTAAAAACATATTTCTGTTTTTTTTTTTTAAATGTCCTTTTTATCCATCTATTAAAAACCAGTAAAGCTTTTAAGTCAGGCATTTATTTTATATTAAATTATTTAGCTCTTTATTTACATTTTAGCCGCTATAAGAGCCGCTGTAGACGTTTTAGAGGCTAAATCCGCCATCAGTGAACTGAAACAAATTTATTTCTATTTCCTTTTATAATCTGAAGGTGATTTATGGTCTGATGGGCTTTAATATCGTGGATAATCAGCTGATTAACGCTGTTTTTCACCAGAAGCGAACTTTGAGCTTGTTGTTCATCGTGTTTCAGCTCTGCAGGTTCTCATGTGGAGTGGTGTAAGCAGCTGATCGCAGCCACCTTATCCAGCCAGATCTCCAGAACCGCCCAACCGGACCTTCTGAGCAGAGACACAAAGGTCAGCACAGAAACATAGAAACCTCTCATAGATGCTGCATTTAAATATTAGCTAAAGGAAAAACTTTTTTAGGAGGAACGTCTGCTGTTCAGCCTTCATTCCTGCTTCAGGCACAGAATATTAGAAATACGTGAATGGAGGCTCTAAAAACATAGATCTATGCTTCATTATGTTCAATTAGATGAAAACGGTGAAAAAGGTTCTAGACAGCAGCAATAATGCGGCTCATAGAGGGACGTATGAATCTATTATTGAATATCTATCATTGAAAACCTGATTAGAAAAAGATTTTTCTTTGAGTTTAAAGATGATTTTCTTTATTGTTTTTATAACATAACTGAATAAAAGTGAGACGTTATAAAAGCCCAAAGGGAAACTTTAAAGAAATAAATTAATATTCTCTCCATCGGATGGAAATGAGAAAATAAAGAACTGCTTTAGTTTTTCTGTTATTCTTTAAAAAAAACTTTGAGTTTAATAGTTTTAGACTGAAAAATAAAAGATGCTGGGATTCATTTCATTTAGCATACAGGCTAATTTAGCTGCTTAGCATCAAGCTATCTTTAATTTTTGTTTCTTTTGGTAATTTGAAACGAGCTAAAGTCAGTTTTTACAGTAACTTGATCATCATAGTAACTGAATTCCTTTTTAAATGAAGTCACCAGAAACAGGAAGTAGTAAAGCTACGTTCAGAGCGCGCGCAGCAGGAGCGGCTAAAACACGCTGCTTCATTTCTGATGCTTGTACCAGTTTAGTTCTGACGCGCGGCTGAAGCATCTTAGCTGCTCTAGCTGCGCGGTGGTAAAGTGGGTCTGATGCGCGCTGAGAAAATAAAGAACTGCTTTAGTTTTTTTGTTATTCTTTAAAACAAACTTTGAGTTTAATAGTTTTAGACTGAAAAATAAAAGATGCAGGAATTCATTTCAGTTAGCATACAGGCTAATTTAGCTGCTTAGCATCAAGCTAGCAGAGTTTCTTGTTACTGTCTGTAAATTAAAACGAGCTAAAGTCAGTTTTTACAGTAACTTGTTCATCATAGTAACTGAATTCCTTTTGAAACGAAGTCACCAGAAACAGGAAGTAGTAAAGCTACGTTCAGAGCGCGCGCAGCAGGAGCGGCTAAAACACGCTGCTTCATTTCTGATGCTTGTACCAGTTTAGTTCTGACGCGCGGCTGAAGCATCTTAGCTGCTCTAGCTGCGCGGTGGTAAAGTGGATCTGATGCACGGTGGGCGTTAGAATCTATGTTGAAGTGAGAAAGTCCTCCTGAAAACATGGTCTGTGCAGTCAGTTCATCCAGATTACCATCCTGCCTTCAAAGATCAGATGCTGAAAACGCGCTGCGGGACCTTTGGCTGCGCCGTGATGCGCATCAACCGTTGACTTTGCATGTAAAGCAGCTGCTGCTGCAGCGTGCGTTCTGAACGTAGCATTATGCCGGCTAATTCCTCTGCTGTAAACAGAATCTCCGCCGTTTCCGGTCGTTTTCAGATGCAGTCGATCTTCTTCCATCTGACCTGCAGACTTGGTTCTGATGAGTTCTGATCCGTTTGTCTTGCAGGTGTCCAAACGGCTGAGCTCCTGGGTAAGAACTCGCCTCATCATCCCGCCTCACAGCTGACAGCAACTTAAATCCATCCCAGAAGTTTTCCTCCAAATCAGGAAGAAATTAGTTAAATTTAAAGGTTTTTATTAATGGAGGAAAAAAAAAACTGACATTTAAATCTACGTAAACATTAAAGTAGAATAAATTTAACCATTTGATATAATTTATATATTGTCTGCATAGGAAGTTTTAAGGCCATAATGAAAATATCAAGTTTTTGATTAAAGTGTAAAGTTGCAGCATTATATTATCCAAACATCAACCTGAGCTTTTTAATCCAGAGGAGGAAAAGTTACATCAAAGGAAGCATTTTCTTTAATCTTATATCTTACCACATTTTAACATTAAAACACATTAATTTCATGTCCTAATATTACAAATTTATTTTCATTATTTTATGACTTCTCAGTTTTTTTATTTTGTAATCTTATTCTCCTAAAAGTTTTGGTTTTAATCTGGTACTATTGAAGCTTTAATCTCATAACGCTATGATTTTATTCTTATTATTTTATAACTAGAATCTAATAAATGAATGTAGGGCATAATATTTTGATTTAAATCTCTGATAGAACTAACATTATGACTTTATTTTCATAATTTAGAAAAACAAGCATCTCTAATCTGGCCTTAAAACCTTAATACTTAAAAATATTCCGAATAGTACACAACTCAAAAGAAAGTAAAGGAACACTTTGTAATCAGAGTATAGCATGAAGTTAGCATGAGGCGCTACCTGGACCCTACAGAGGTTGCACAGGCAGTCCAACTCCTCCAGGATGGCGCATCAATACCTGCCATTGCCAGAAGGTTTGCTGTCTCCCAGCACAATCTGAAGAGCATGGAGGAGATTCCAGGAGACAGGCAGTTCCTCCAGGAGAGCTGGACAGGACCGTAGAAGGTCTACAACCCATCAGCAGGACCGCTATCTGCTCCTTTGTGCAAGGAGGAGCAGGAGGAGCACTGCCAGAGCCCTACAGAAGGACCTCCAGCAGGCCACTGGTGTGAATGTCTCTGACCAAACAATCAGACACAGACTCCACGAGGGTGGCCTGAGGGCCCCATGTCCTCTAGTGGGCCCTGTGCTCACTGCCCGCCACCGGGGAGCTCCATTGGCATTTGCCACAGAACACCGGAATTGGCAAGTGGGCCACTGGCGCCCTGTGCTTTTCACAGATGAGAGCAGGTTCACCGTGAGCACGTGACAGACGTGAAAGGGTCTGGAGAAGCCGTGGAGAACGTTCTGCTGCCTGGAACATCGTTCAGAATGACCGGTTTGGTGGGGGGTCAGTGATGGTCTGGGGAGGCATATCCATGGAGGGACGCACAGACCTATACAGGCTAGACAACACCACCCTGACTGCCATTAGGGATCGGGATCAAATCCTTGCACCCATTGTTAGACCCTATGCTGGTGCAGTGGGTCCTGGGTTCCTCCTGGTGCACGACAATGCCCGGCCTCATGTGGCGAGAGCATGCAGGCAGTTCCTGGAGGATGAAGGAATTGATGCCATTGATTGGCTATGCTAGGCGGTTCCTATCCATGCTAACCATGCTAGGTGGTTCCTATCCAGGCTAACCATGCTAGGTGGTTCCTATCCAGGCTAACCAGGCTAGGTGGTGCCTATCCAGGCTAACCAGGCTAGGTGGTGCCTATCCAGGCTAACCAGGCTAGGTGGTGCCTATCCAGGCTAGGTGGTGCCTATCCAGGTTAACCAGGCTAGGTGGTTCCTATCCAGGCTAACTATGGTAGGTGGTTCCTATCCAGGCTAACTAGGCTAGGTGGTTCCTATCCAGGCTAACTGTGCTAGGTGGTTCCTATCCAGGCTAACCAGGCTAGGTGGTGCCTATCCAGGCTAACCAGGCTAGGTGGTGCCTATCCAGGCTAACCAGGCTAGGTGGTGCCTATCCAGGCTAGGTGGTGCCTATCCAGGTTAACCAGGCTAGGTGGTTCCTATCCAGGCTAACTATGGTAGGTGGTTCCTATCCAGGCTAACTAGGCTAGGTGGTTCCTATCCAGGTTAAACAGGCTAGGTGGTTCCTATCCAGGCTAACTATGCTAGGTGGTTCCTATCCAGGCTAACTATGCTAGGTGATTCCTATCCAGGCTAACCAGGCTAGGTGGTTCCTATCCAGGCTAACTAGGCTAGGTGGTTCCTATCCAGGCTAACCAGGCTAGGTGGTTCCTATCCAGGTTAACCAGGCTAGGTGGTTCCTATCCAGGCTAACCAGGCTAGGTGGTTCCTATCCAGGTTAACCAGGCTAGGTGGTTCCTATCCAGGCTAACCAGGCTAGGTGGTTCCTATCCAGGTTAACCAGGCTAGGTGGTTCCTATCCAGGCTAACTATGGTAGGTGGTTCCTATCCAGGCTAACTATGCTAGGTGATTCCTATCCAGGCTAACCAGGCTAGGTGGTTCCTATCCAGGCTAACTAGGCTAGGTGGTTCCTATCCAGGCTAACCAGGCTAGGTGGTTCCTATCCAGGTTAACCAGGCTAGGTGGTTCCTATCCAGGCTAACTAGGCTAGGTGGTTCCTATCCAGGCTAACCAGGCTAGGTGGTTCCTATCCAGGTTAACCAGGCTAGGTGGTTCCTATCCAGGCTAACTATGGTAGGTGGTTCCTATCCAGGCTAACTATGCTAGGCGGTTCCTATCCAGGCTAACCAGGCTAAATCAGCTGTACTGTATCTGTCCTTTCAGCCATCTTTTTCCCTCTTTCCCTCCTCTACAGAGCTCAGATGAAGATGAGGCAAGTGTTTCCTTGGTAACCGTGTTCTGTCCCCCTTCATCTCATCCTTCATTCAATGATCCTTCACGTTAATAATCAGCTCTCTGAACCCCAGAGCTAACTGAGCTAACAGCTGTTAGCGCTGACCCTCAGCTGGTTCTCTGATGGAGGACTCCATCCAGAGACTGAACTCTGTGGTTTCATACAGTGCTTTAAGGTTAGCTAACCTGGAAGCTACAGGTTTAGCCAACCTTAATACCGGTTTAGCTAACCTTAATACCGGTTTAGCTAACCTTAATACAGGTTTAGCTAACCTTAATACAGGTTTATGCTAAGCATATTGAATAAAATGGACAGATTGAGCCACAGACGGTCTGTAGATCTGCAGCCAGAAGGTCCTCGGTTTGAATCCCAGCCCAGGGTCATGTTGCATGGTCTCCCCCTGCATGTGTTGGATCTCTCCTGGTACTCTGACTTCCATCCACCATTCAAAATATAACTGTTAGCTTTTAGGTTGCTACGTTGTAAAATTCAGCTAGATTAAAGCGGAACTCACAAAAACTCAAGGGGGTTTTTTCACAGGAAATCAGGCAAAATATTACAATTTTAAGGAAAAACAAATATTTATTTAAAATAATAATAATAATAATAATAATAATAAAAACTATTACCAAGGAATCCAAAGTTTAATTCAATAATATTTCAGTATAAATGATAAATAAACCAAAAAAACCTTCACAACCAATTTATAAGTAAACTCAAAGTCTCAATTTATATCTGCAAAAAACAAACAAAAACATCACTAATAACTGAAAGTCCAAAACTGTCCGTCTCTTTTTTCTTCTTATAAAAATGTCCCAACAGGAGTTCCATACACTTCGAACCCAAAGTAAAGTCCTGGAACCGTTTCAGTCCAAAGTCTTTTGCAAAACGAAAAATCCAAACAGTAAACCCGCCCCAAAAAAGGATTAGAAAAAGAGTGGTACCACCAAAAATCCCCAAAAAGAAAAATAAGGTCCAGATCTCACCGGAGCGTCTTTTTTTCCCCCCTGGGCGGCGTCTCTTTGCACCGGGCGGCGTCCTCTGGGTGCAAACTCCGACAATCAGTTTACCTCAAATCTCTGCGGTGATCTGCGGCGCTGGGACAAACTCTGTCTGTGGTTCATCTTTCTTCCTTTATTTTTCGATTTCTTTTTAACGGACAACAAGACAAAATCTCCCGCTGCACAGAACTGTCAGTGTCGAGCCGCGCGCGCCGATGCACACGCCCCTTTTTATTCAAAAATGTTTCCACACCAAAATATTCCCAGCATATTAATTTACATCATCATTTTTTAACCAGTGGAGTTTTGAAATAATTTTATCAAAGACATAACTGTTCTACCAGACAGTATATCATTGGTACACTTTAAAGTGCTTTATACAAAAGGTGAAAAAATAACATAGTGGTTATGTTACAACCCCCCCCCCCAGCCGGAGGCAAAGGAGGTTGAACTCCAAAATAGGGCTTTAAGTTAACCACATTAACTATGTCTGTTCCTTTGTGCTGGTCCCTCCACTGGAGCTGATAATTTACTGGGCCTAACTGTTTCCTCACTGTAGCTGGACCTGACCACTTTGGCGCTAGCTTTGAGGAAAAACCATCTATTGCTTTGGAAAGAGGATGAGACCTTACCCAGACCAAATCTCCCGGCCGGAACTGTGCACCTCTCCTCCGGGCATTGTAATATTTGGCTTGTCGGGCTTGACTTATCCCAACTTTCCGTTTGACTTCTTCCTTCATCTCACTGTGTCGCTCCATCAACTTGTATATGGTTTGCTGAGGTGATGGTGGTTTGGCTATCATCCTCTCCAACGGCCCTTGAAGTTGACGTCCCAACATTAGTTCTGCAGGGGCTCTCCCTGTGGTCTCATGTTGAGCACCATTGATGGCAAAACGGAACTCCCATATATGTTTGTCCCACTGATTGTGGTTCTGTCCAACAAATGAGGCTATCATTGTTTTGATAGTTCTGTTAGCCCGCTCAGTTAAGTTGGATTGGGGGTGATAGCTGGTGGTAAAATAGTGCTTTACCCCCCACATAGAGCAAAAATTGGACATCTCTTGACTGGTAAACTGGGGGCCACGATCTGACACAATGCTTTGAGGAACTCCAAAACGAGTAAATATCTCCTCCCGGAGGATAGTGATGAGCCTCTGTGTCTTGCTGTCTCTTAAAGGAAACATTTCCACCCACTTCGTGAAGTAGTCGATCACCACAAAAAGGAAGATGTTTCCTTTTTTACTGCGTGGAAAAGGTCCCATTAAGTCGACCCCAAGTTTTTCCCAGGGTTCTGTCAGAGATGTGGGTTGCAGGAATCCAGCTGGAGCTTGATTTTCTGGTTTGTACTTCTGACAAACTGCACAATTCTTTACATGAGTCCATACATCTTTACGAACCGACGGCCACCAGGCTACCTCCAACAGCCGGAGGAGTGTCTTTAGTCTGCCCAGATGTCCACTCAGTGGTCGATCATGGAAATACTGGAGAAATTGAGGAACCAATGACTTGGGAACCACCAACTGATATTTCATGCCATCTTTAAGTGGGGTTTTCCTATACCAGAGATCGTGGACTTTGTGGAAGAGGATCCTGTCAGGCCTCTGGTATCTTGGATCCTGAACCATCTCCATGAGGTCTGAGTCTTTCTCCTGCTCTTCCTTGATTTCTGCCATTGATAGGGGTAAACCCAACAAGGCATTAGCAGAGTTCAGGGCTACATGTGCTGGTCCGGGCGGGTCAGAAGGCATCGCTCGGGACAGGGCATCAGGCACTACATTGTGCATTCCTTTTCTATATCTCACTTCAAAACTGAAATCTTGCAACCTCAGCACCCAGCGTGTTAACCTAGAACTGGTTCTAGGGCAATTGAATGCCCAGGTTAGGGCAGCATGGTCGGTGTAAATGGTAAACTTTGTACCCTCTACAAAGTGCCGCCACTTTTCTACTGCCCAAACAACTGCCAAGCATTCTTTCTCTGAGGTGGAGTAGTTCTGTTCTGCTCCCTTCAATGATCTTGAAGCGAAAGCAATAACTTTTTCTCCATCAGTTGTTGGTTGGACCAGGACGGCCCCCAGACCAACGTCACTGGCGTCCGTATGAATTTCGAAAGGCAACTTGAAATCTGGCTGTCCCAGGATGGGTGATTCCACCAAAGCTTTCTTCAGCTCCATAAAAGCATGATGGCAGTCAACTGTCCACTCCCACTTTGCATCTTTCTTGAGCAGCTGATAGAGAGGTGTAGCTATTTCTGCAAAATGTGAGATGAACTTGTGGTACCAGCCTACCATTCCAAGGAATCTCTGTAGAGTTTTCTGGTTAGTTGGAGTTGGATAAACCGTAATGGCCTGGGTTTTTTCTGGATCCACTTGAACACCTTTTGCCGACACAATGTGTCCAAGAAACTTGAGTTCTTGCTGGAAAAAGTTGCATTTTTTAAGGTTTAGGGTCAGATTGGCATGGGAGAGCTTTTCAAAGACTGTGTCCAGGTCCTTCATGTGCTGGTCAGCAGAGGCTGAGAAAACAATCACATCATCAATGTACACACAGCAGGTCTTTCCCCGTAGCTCTCCTAAAACTTTCTCCATTAAACGTTGAAAGGATGCTCCAGCGTTTTTCAATCCAAATGGCATGCACTTAAATTGATAAAGTCCAAATGGAGTAATAACAGCAGTTTTTGCTTTGCTGTCATCTGCCACTGCCATCTGCCAATATCTAGACTTCAAGTCCAGGGTGCTGAAAATGTTTGCTCCAGTCATTGACTCCAACAGCTCATGTATGATGGGCATGGGATAGGCATCCTGAAGAGTTTTGGTGTTCAAAGCTCTGTAGTCCACACAAAATCGAAAAGATTTGTCTGGTTTGGGAACAAGGACAACCGGAGATCCCCATGATGACTGTGATGGCTCTATAATATCGTCTTTGAGCATTGCCTCAATATGCTCCTTTATTATTTGCCGCTTGAAAGGAGACACCCGGTAAGCTCTGCAGCGAATGGGTATGTCATCGGTAGTTATTATTCGGTGTTCTTCCACAGATGTTCTACCCAATGTCTCCGAGCATACAGATGGCCAGGCCTTCAGAAGCTTCTGGACTTCTGGTGGATGTTGAGTCTGCCTTAGATACAATTCTGTGTTGGGTATTTTGTCCTCTTCCATGGGCAGAGCCAGGATCAAAGAAAGTGGAGAAGGACTAGCATGCACAGGTGATGCTGGAGCAGCTGCTGATGAAAAAGGATAAAAGGTATAACCTTTTGGACCTTTTACCCCATATGTGTGGTCACCTAGGTTGATAATGGTAGAGGTTTTGGTCAAAAAGTCCAGTCCTAGGATGATGGGAAAGGTGAGATTATTATCCTCAACCACAAAAGTCTCTAAAGACCACATCATTCCATGCCAACTGTAAATGATTGTTGCTTTCCCCAAAGCGCTGTAGGTTTTGCCATTGGCAAGAGCAAACTTCTGGTTGTCAGCTGGCTTTAAAACCTCCCCTTCTCGAGCAATTATTTTCCACTGACTATTTCTCATCAGGGAATAGGTGCAAGCTGTATCCAGTATACATCCTGTCACGCACCTCTATGGGAACATGAAGGAGAGAGGATGCAGGGCCTCGCTGAACCACAGATACAGAGTCGGCTGGCTTTCTGGGGTTCGCCTTAGGTCTTGCTGGGCCTTTTCCCTTGGCTTTATGCTGATCCACTTTGCCCCAGTAGATTTTTACACCAGCACAGTCCTTTTCAACCTGGGATCCCACCTTTATTAGCTGATCAATAGAGTTGACTGTGCCACGAAGACAGCCTGCTATCTTCGGATTGCAGTTGTTTAAAATCCTTCTTACAAGCTCCGTCTCACTGATGTCTGGCTTCCATCTTAGACATAGTGCTTGATACTCAAAGGCGAAATCTCTCAGACATTGCTCTGGCAACTGGACCATGTCTCTCAATTTCTCTTCCACCTCTGACAGATAATCGGGAGGCAGAAAAGCAGCACAAAAGGCATTTTTAAATTCAAGCCAGTTGTGAACCTTGTTTTTAGCCACACTCCACCAGTACCGAGCAGAGCCCTTTAAGACAGCTGTTAAGGCTCCCAATAGTTCAGGATCAGACAGGGGCCGTACTGTTAGGAATGTCTCGCACTGATCAATGAAATTTAAGACATCAGAAACCTCTTCTGCACCCTCAAATGTGGGAAACTCCATGTGCACAGGTGGCTTGGAAATGACTACAGATGTTCTACTTGAGGTTGGAACTGTCTGATTGGAGGTCAATGCCGGGAGGTCTACTATCCCACAGTTTGTTGATGGCGTGACTGGAACTGCTCCTGGAGGGATGTAGGTGGTAGATTGATCCGTCCTTTGAAGGCATGAAGATCCAAAGCTTCCTTGTGGTACCCTTTGAACAGGTAGGGCTAAAGGTGGAGATGATGTTTCAGGGATAGTATGTTTCATGGTAGAAGAGAGATGATCAGATGGCACAGGGAGACTTGGTCTGCCACTATCAAGGGAATGAATAGCTGTAGAGAGTCTAGCGCGCTTCAACCTCTCTATCTCAGCCTTCCACTTCTCATCTCGTCGCAGCAAACAGTCTACGATCTTAGCTTCAAATTCCTTAAAGGCTGTGTTCATGCATTGCTCCAGGGCCTCAACATTTCTGTCTACATATGTCCTGATGTTTTGCTCCCTATTCAAAGCACTTTCTACAGACTCCCTAAAATCTTCTTCCAATGATGAAATCCTAACCCCCATGTTGGTTACATCATTCCTGATACAATTTATGTCTGACATAGGGAGATATTCCTCCTCGTCGTCTTCTCTTTCTTCAACATCATTATCTGATACATAAAGGGAGCTAATCAGAGAAGTTATTTCACCTACTGGATTTCTCCTAGTAACCCAGGTTTCTCCCCCTCTGGTGCTAATTGGCTCTTCCTGATCTACGAGAAGACCTGCTCCATTTTCTTCCTCATCCTGATCAATAACTCTTTCCTCAGCATGTTGTGATTGAGAGGGTGTGTTATCCATCTTAAAAGAAAAAACACTCAAATCAAATAAATCCAAATGTAAAACAGGATTCTCTTTAAATGTATCAACTCATGTAACCCAAAACCTGATATTATATTCCTGGCCCTATACTGGCCACCATTTTGTAAAATTCAGCCAGATTAAAGCGGAACTCACAAAAACTCAAGGGGGTTTTTTCACAGGAAATCAGGCAAAATATTACAATTTTAAGGAAAAACAAAGATTTATTTAAAATAATAATAATAATAATAATAAAAAAACTATTACCAAGGAATCCAAAGTTTAATTCAATAATATTTCAGTATAAATGATAAATAAACCAAAAAAACCTTCACAACCAATTTATAAGTAAACTCAAAGTCTCAATTTATATCTGCAAAAAACAAACAAAAACATCACTAATAACTGAAAGTCCAAAACTGTCCGTCTCTTTTTTCTTCTTATAAAAATGTCCCAACAGGAGTTCCATACACTTCGAACCCAAAGTAAAGTCCTGGAACCGTTTCAGTCCAAAGTCTTTTGCAAAACGAAAAATCCAAACAGTAAACCCGCCCCAAAAAAGGATTAGAAAAAGAGTGGTACCACCAAAAATCCCCAAAAAGAAAAATAAGGTCCAGATCTCACCGGAGCGTCTTTTTTTCCCCCCTGGGCGGCGTCTCTTTGCACCGGGCGGCGTCCTCTGGGTGCAAACTCCGACAATCAGTTTACCTCAAATCTCTGCGGTGATCTGCGGCGCTGGGACAAACTCTGTCTGTGGTTCATCTTTCTTCCTTTATTTTTCGATTTCTTTTTAACGGACAACAAGACAAAATCTCCCGCTGCACAGAACTGTCAGTGCGCGTCTTTCTCACCTGTCGAGCCGCGCGCGCCGATGCACACGCCCCTTTTTATTCAAAAATGTTTCCACACCAAAATATTCCCAGCATATTAATTTACATCATCATTTTTTAACCAGTGGAGTTTTGAAATAATTTTATCAAAGACATAACTGTTCTACCAGACAGTATATCATTGGTACACTTTAAAGTGCTTTATACAAAAGGTGAAAAAATAACATAGTGGTTATGTTACAACGTCATCTTAGCTGTCTGTGAGAAACATTTTAGATCAAATGTGGAAGGAAAGACTCATCAAAGATTTTCTGTTTCTGATTGTTTACAGTTTAAAGATCAAAGCTACAGGTTTTTATCCAAAGATGATTGAAAGACATCCACTGAATGTCGACATATAAAAACATCATTTAAACGGTAAATCATTAATGGGAATGCAGAGTTTACCGCTTTCCTTCTGAATCTATTTGCTAATGCTAACCAAGGATTAGCATTAGCAACCAGCTTACAAACAGAGCAGGTGAGCGTGAGGCGCCACCTACTGGCCAGGAGGAGTAAACATGTAGCTATGAGCTTTAAAGGTCCATTTCCAGTCCGTTCTCCTCACTGGTTTTAGGCTGTGACTCCTCTCTGCTCTCCTCAGAACCGTCCAACCTTAGGATTTGGTCCACTGGTCAAACTGTCTCCAAACCAGGTTCCTCTTCTGCCAGGAGAAACCGTCCAGATCACAGGTTCCTGAAGGTCTTCCATCTTCTGATTGGTTCTTTTTGCACCAAGCAGCTAAACTCACCTTCCTCTCTGCTTTTGTCTCCTGGGACCTGATGTTCAGTGAAGGATGTCATGTACATCTGTCCCTTCAGTGGTCTGATCACCGGCACTCTGACCGTCACCGACTACAAGCTCTACTTTACCGGATCTGTAAAGGTAGAACCTCATTCTCCTGGTTCCTCTGAGGTTCCTATGAGATTCTGCTCTTCCTATAAACACGCTGATGTTCTCATCCAGGACTCCTCCTTCATTCTGGATGTGAATCTGGGAGCTATCAGCCGCCTGGAGGCCATCCCTGTTCCCAACCAGGAAGACGACACCAAGGGGATTGAGCTGGTCTGTAAGGTAAACCAGCGACGCTCCTGTGAATCATCTCCCATCAATGATCCCTGATTTAATAGACGTCGTTCTCTGCGGTTGGTCAGGACATGAGGAGCGCCCTGTTCACCTATAAACCGGAGGAGAACCAGCCGGACATGGTGGAGGTGTTGACCAAGCACGCCTTCCCTCTGTCCTACAGCCTGGTTGGTCTGCCGCTCATCATCTGTCCTGCTGGGTGATCCAACCCAGATGGATAAAATCATTCAAAATAACATTTATATAGATTTGATTTAGAGGAATATTCTACATTCCTCATATTTTTAGTCTGAAATAAAAGGCTCTAAAAGCTTTTCTCAGACAAACATAACAGAGGTCGTTTCCATGCTTTCGTGTTTTCTAGACTTTTAGTTTGGTTTTAATTTTTTAACAAATGTTTTGCAAAGTTTGATGATTGGTTTAAACATTTGAACCTGCTGCTTCTCAGGCTTCATTTGCCTTCAAGTATAAGGAGCAGTTTCCTGTGGACGGCTGGAAGGTCTACGAGCCCATAGCAGAGTACAACCGACAGGTAACCTGACCCTAACTAACCCTGACTAACTCTAACTAACCCTGATTAACCCTGACTAACTCTAACTAACCCTGACTAACTCTAACTAACCCTGACCAACTCTAACTAACCCTGACTAACTCTAACTAACCCTGACCAACTCTAACTAACCCTGTCTAAATCTAACTAACCCTGATTAACCCTGACTAACTCTAACTAACCCTGACTAACTCTAACTAACCCTGACCAACTCTAACTAACCCTGACTAACTCTAACTAACCCTGACCAACTCTAACTAACCCTGTCTAAATCTAACTAACCCTGATTAACCCTGACTAACTCTAACTAACCCTGACTAATTCCAACATCCTGACTAATCCTGACTAACCCAGCTAATCCTTACTAATCCTGAATAATCCTGACTAACCCTAACTAAACATGACTAACTCTAACCCTGACTAACTCTAACTAACTCTGACTAATTCCAACATCCTGACTAACCCAGCTAATCCTTACTAATCATGAATAATCCTGACTAACTCTAACTAACCCTGACTAACTCTGACTAACTCTAACTAACCCTGACTAACTCTGACTAACTCTAACTAACCCTGACTAATTCCAACATCCTGACCAATCCTGATTAACCCAGCTAATCCTGAATAATCCTGACTAACCCTAACTAACCCTGACGAACTCTGACTAACTAACTAACCCTGACTAACTCTAACTAACTCTGAATAACTCTAACTAACTCTGACTAATTCCAACATCCTGACTAACCCAGCTAATCCTTACTAATCCTGAATAATCCTGACTAACCCTAACTAACCCTGACTAACTCTGACTAACTCTGAATAACTCTAACTAACTCTGACTAATTCCAACATCCTGACTAATCCTGATTAACCCAGCTAATCCTTACTAATCCTGAATAATCCTGACTAACTCTAACTAAGCCTGAATAACTCTAACTAACCCTGACTAACTCTGACTAACTAACTAACCCTGACTGACCCTAACTAACCATGTCTTACTCTGACTGACCCTGACTAACCCTGACTAACTCTGACTAACTCGATCTAACCCTGACTAACTCTAAACCTTACTAATTCCAACAAATCCTGACTAACTCTGCTAATCCTTACTAACCCTAACTAATCCTTAGTAATCCTGAATAATCCTGACTAACTTTAACTAATCCTAACTTCCTGTTTCTGAGTTTATCTGTGGATCAGCTCTGGTTGTTTTAACTGATTAAGGAACTAAGTTAGTTTGAGCGACTGGTTAAAGCTGGTGAACGGCTCCCTCTGCTGGTTGAACTCCTCCTCTGTCTTCCATCAGGGGCTTCCAAACGAGAGCTGGAGCATCAGCAGGATGAACCTTCACTATGAGCTGTGTGACACCTACCCCTCCATCCTGGTGCTGCCCAAGAACCTGACGGAGGAGAGCATCAGACAGGTGGCGGCGTTCAGAGCCAAGCGGCGCCTTCCGGTCAGTTAACTTCACCGTAGACCTGATCCCTCAGAGCGGTTCCAAACCAGCTCAGCTCCTCCCGTCTCCTCCTGGTTAATGACACTGAGGACGTGGACCTTCCTGCTGTCCCTCTGCAGGTCCTGTCCTGGATCCACCCAGAGTCTCAGGCAGCAATCGTTCGCTGCAGCCAGCCGTTAGTAGGACCTGTGGACCGCCGCTGTAAGGAGGACGAACGCTTCCTCCAGATCCTCATCGATGCTAACGCTCAGTCCCACAAGCTAACCATCTTTGATGCTCGGCAGATCAGCGTGGCTCTTTCTAACAAGGTACCAATGAACTGCGCCCCCTAGTGGCCATTTATAGATGCTGTAGGTATCAGATCTGCTCAGGTCCTGTTAATATCAGTGACGTCACGCTATATGATTGACTGAATGTCGCCACAATGATGTGGTTGCCCGGACAACAATAATAAGATATCGCAGCGTCCGTGCGCCGAGTCGGGAGCATCTGTAGCGTTAGCATTTGCAATGACCGATAAATTTTTACCTGATTGATAATTCAACTGAAAAAATATGTCTATAGTGAACAAAGTGACCGTTAGACCACGGTATCACGGGGGCGCACTGGTTAGCGCTGTGGCTAGCTGTTCATTCAAAGCCATTAGCATCCAGGTGAAGCTAGTGGGAGGAGCTAAAGAAGGTTCACAGAGCACAAAGCTTCATTGTCATCAGTTAACTTCTAGAAATGACCTGATTTTCCTGGGTTATCTGTGATTATTCAGCTTCCTTCCTTTTTTCTCTCATTTTTGACCAAAACGACCTGAAGGCAAAAGAAGGAGGATTTGAGAGTGAAAGTTTCTATCCCAACATGGAGCTCATCTTCCTGGAGATCCCTAACATCCACGTGATCCGGGAGTCTCTGCGGAAGGTCCGGCATGTGATCTATCCCACCATCGATGAGGCCCGCTGGCTCTCTGCTGTGGACCAGACCCACTGGTTGGACCATCTACGGGTGAGTGTGTCTAACGGGGGTCTGGGATGGGCCTGAAGGGAGGTGCTAACATGTCTGTCCTGCTGCAGCTGCTGTTATCTGGAGCAGCAAAGATAGCTGATAAGGTGGAGTCTGGAAAAAGCTCGGTGGTGGTTCACTGCGGCGACGGCTGGGACCGGACCGCCCAGCTGACGGCGCTCTCCATGCTGATGCTGGACAGCTACTACCGCACTCTGAAGGGATTCCAGGTGAAGCTTCAGCTCCCAACCGTTGCTGCTGCTGTCAAACCAAAGCTAACCATGTTGCTCTGTTCAGGTTCTGCTGGAAAAGGAGTGGATCAGCTTTGGACACAAATTTGCATCTGTAAGAGCAAAAACATACCTGCTATAGATCTATGCGCTGTAGATCTTCACTACCATGTCTTCCTGCAGCGTGTTGGACACGGCGAAGAGAGCCATGCTGACTCGGAGCGGTCCCCTCTGTTCGTCCAGTTCATGGACTGTGTTTGGCAGATGACCCGGCAGGTAAGAGACCTTCTATGCCCCCCAGAGGCAGAGACCTTCTATCTCCCTCAGAGGCAGAGACCTTCTATGCCCCCCAGAGGCAGAGACCTTCTATCTCCCTCAGAGGCAGAGACCTTCTATCTCCCTCAGAGGCAGAGACCTTCTATGTCCCCCAGAGGCAGAGACCTTCTATGTCCCCCAGAGGCAGAGACCTTCTATCTCCCTCAGAGGCAGAGACCTTCTATCTCCCTCAGAGGCAGAGACCTTCTATGTCCCCCAGAGGCAGAGACCTTCTATCTCCATCAAGCTTCTCCTCTCCTTTGATCTCCGTAGTTTCCTGCTGCCTTTGAGTTTAATGAGCTGTTCCTGATCACCGTCCTGGATCATCTCTACAGCTGCCTCTTCGGCACCTTCCTCTGCAACAGTGAGCAGGAGCGGCAGGACAAGGTAATTGTCTAGATCTTCTCCGTTTAGAAGCTAACTAGCTTGGTAGCAGTTCCCGTCAAAATGTTTTATTGCATCAAATGACCTTGCAGCTCATTGGAGCTGGAGTTTGGTCCATTTGGGCGACTAGTCACCAAGCTGAGACCAAACGTTTGGTTTCTCCTTCGATGCCTGATGTCGCTAATTAGCTTCATACCGAAATTCTGAACCTGCATTTCTGACTGATGGAAACGGGTCTGGGTGAAGTTCAGGTATGAAGGGGTCAAAGTTCACTGGGAATGTGCTTCTGTCGTTCCCAGGAGGTTCAAACCAAGACGGTGTCCCTGTGGTCCTACATCAACAGGTGAGGCGCTGACCTCTGACCTCTGCTGTGGCTCCAGCTGCGTATGACCTCACATCTGCTCTGTGTCCTGCAGCCAGCCCAGTGATTTCACCAACCCCTTCTTTGTGAACTATGAGAACCACGTCCTGCAGCCACTGATCTCCTCCAGACACCTGGAGCTGTGGACCAGCTACTACGCCCGCTGGAACCCTCGCATGAGGCCACAGGTGCAGCCGCCGGCGGCTTTAGGACAAACGCTCACAGGAAACCCGTTATTCCCGGGAACAGGATCTGAGTTTCTCTGAACTTGTTCATGTTTTCCAGGTTCCAGTTCATCAAACTCTGAAGGACCTTCTGTTCCGCAGAGCAGAGCTGCAGAGGAGGGTGACGGAGCTGGACACCCACATGTCCTCCTTTTACCCATCAGCCTCGGCCGACCCTCAGAGCCCCGTCCATCTTTACTCTTAGTGAGGTTGGGTAACAATCGACGCCTACTTCCTGCGTGGGAAGCAGATTCCTGGATCAAAGTGTTCGCAGCTTTTATTCTTCCTGCAATTTTTCCTCTTATAAATAACTCTGGCCAACTCTAGGGGGCAGTATAGACCACATGCTGCAAGTCGGCCGTCGGCCATGTTTTCCTGCATACTGACCCATGACGCCCCCATGTGGAGGGGTGGGGCTCTACAAGGATGTAATCTGACCCATCAAGTATAAATCAGGCTTTCTTCAGGTTTCTGGTTGTTTGTTTTCGGCCTGAGAAATATTTATAATATTAAAAACTATTGATGATCTCAGACGTTTTGCTTCTTTTTAGTCACATTTAACTGCAAACAGCAGCAGAACTCTTTGATTTCTGCCTCTTTATATCAGGAGGAGAACCGTGTTCAGCGTAGAAAGTCAGATCTAGAAGCAGCACCTGAACCAGAGGAACAGGCTGCAGGAACAGCTGATCTATGAATTCCTCTCAGCTGGATGTCTGCAGCTCATTGGCTCCCATCCTTCAGCAGCTTCTATCTGGGGTCTGTAGATCTACTCTGCTAGATCGGAGGCAGCGGCTGATCATCGCACCGACAGGTGAATCCACCATCAGGATCAGGCAGGTGCTGCTGTAGAAACTAAACTAGTAAAGAAATATTTGTTTTGGATCAAATCTAAAAATGTCAAACAACAGATATCTATAATAATCAGCAGGTATGGGAATCTGGAAAGGCCACAAATTCAAAAAATTAAAAAGTGATGATATTTCTATGTGTAAATTTCAATGTTAGCTGTGATACATGCATCAAATTAATAGAAATATAATTTATGCTAAAAACGAGTAACTAAAGATTTCTTTAAGTTTTTTATTAAAATTTTTTTTATTCTAATAATTTTTCTACATAAGACAATTTTTAAATGTTGATTAAAAAAAAATTTTCCAAATTTAACTGTATTTTTTTATTTTGATGAAATTGACGATGTGATGGTACATTGATGTTTGAATTTATGTTGATAGGTTTAAATTGAATATACGGGGTTGATTAGTGAATTAATGGTGAGTGATGATGGTTGAAGATGAGGATGAGATGTGATATTGTTTGAGAAAATTTTGTGGGAATTTATGGTGATGAGATTGATGATTGATGTGTTGGGTTTTTGATGATGTGGTTGATATTATGATGAGGGTTTTTGTTAAAGGGGAGGTGGGGATGATTTGTGATGATGATGGTTTTGATGTGTGATTATGGGTTTGGGTTTTGGATTAGTTGTGTGATGAGGTTGGTTTGAAAGAATTGTGTGTTTTTAGGTTTTGATGAGGATTGGTGATGAGGTTGTGTGGTGGGGGATGTTTTGGTAAATATGGGATGATGTTGTTGTGTGGGTTGATTTTGTTTTAATTGGGTGGGGTATTTGTTGGTGTGTTTGGGGTTTGTGAAAAGGGGGGTTTATGTGTTTGGTTGTTTTGGTGTAAGTTTTTTGTTTGGGTGGTTGTGTGTGATATTGTTGAATGTAATTTTTTTGGTTTTGTTGTTGTTTTGTGGTGTGTTTTTGTTGAGATGTTTAGATGGTGTGTTTTGATTGTTTGTATGTAAGATGTGTTGAGGATGTTGTGTTTTTGAATATGATGATTTTTGGTCTTGGATTTTATGTGGAGGGGTTGGTTTTGATTGGGTTTTTTAACTTGAACCACTTTAGGGTGGGAGGGGGGGTGGTAAAGGGGTGTGGGAGGTGTGTGGGGTTTAGGGTTAGGGTGATGGTGGTGATGAAGCGGTGGGGGTGGGTTGGTGTGGAGATGGGGTGGTTGGGGGGGTGGGGAGGGGGGTAGGGGGGGTGGAATGGGGAAGGGGGGTGGAGGGGTTTGGTGGGGGTTGGGTAGGTGTGTGGTAGGTTGGGGGTGGGGGGGTGGGTGGGTGGGTTGGTGGGTTGTGTTGTTTGGGGGGGGGGGGTGGTGGTGGGGGGTTGTGGGGGGTGTGGTGTGAGGGGAGGGGGGTGGTGTTGTCGGGGGATAAGGTGTTTGTGGGCTTGTAATGGTGGGGGTGGGATGGGGTGCAGGTGGTTTTTAAGTTTAAAGGGGGTGGTGGGAGGGAGGTGTGGTGGGTGGGGGGGGTGATGGTTGGGGGGGGGTGGGGGGGTGTGGGGATTGGGGTGTGGTGGGGTGGGGGGGGGGAGGAAGGGAAGGTGGGGGGGGGTGTGGTGGGAGGGGGTGGGGTGGTGGGGTTTTGTGAAGGTGTTGGGGGGTGAGAGGGGGGGTGTTGTGAGGGGGTGGGGGGGTGAAATTTTGGGGGGGGGGTGGGGGATGGGAGGTGGATGTGGGTGGTTGTTGGAGGTGGGGGGTGGATGGGGTGGGGTGGTGTGGGGGGTGAGGAAAGGTGGGTGGGGGAATTTGGGTTTGGGGGTGAGTGGGGTGGGGGTTGGGGGGTGGGGATGGGGTTGGGGTGGTGGGGTGGGGGGGGGTGGGGGTTGGGGGGGGGTGGGGGGTGGTGGGGTGGGGGGGGGGAGGGGGGGGGGGGGGGGGGGGGTGTGGGAAGTGGGGGTGGGATGTGGAATTGTGGGGGGTGTGTTTTTTGGGGGGAGTTGTTTTGGGGTGGTGGGGGGGTTGGTTTTGGGGTGGGTTTTTGGGGGGTGTTGGGTATGGTGAGGGGTGGGGGATGGGGAGGTGGGGGGGGGGTGGGGATGGATGGTGGGGGTGTTTTGGTGGTGGTGATGTAGTTTGGGGGTGATGAGGGTGTATTGGGGTGGAGTGATGTGTGGGGTGGGGGTTTATGATGTGGTGTGATGTGTGATGATGGGATGTTTGGGGGGGTGATGGGTGAGATGTGGTGATGATTGGGATGGTGGTGGGGATGATGTGGTGGGGGGGAGGAAGGGGGGGTGGGTTTTAGGGGTGTGAAGTGATGTGGGGATGGATGGGGGGATGTGGGGTGGTGGAGTGATGATGGGGAGTGGGGGGGTGTGGTGGGGGGTGGGGGTGATGGTGAGGAGGTGAGGATGGGAGTGGGAGGTGTGGGGGTTATGGGTGGTTGGGGTGGTGGTGGTGGATGTGGTTGTGGTGGTGGGGGTGTGGTGATGGTGTGGGTGGGAGGGTGGGGGGGGATGAGGTGGTGGGGGTGGGGGGGTGGAGGGGGTGGGAGGGGGGTGTGATGAGGTGAGGTGGGGGTGGTGATGGTGAGTGTGTGGGTGGTGTGGGGTGAGTGGTGGTGTTTGGGGTGGGTTGATGATGGTGGGGGGGGGGTGATGGGGGTGGGGTGGTGAGTGGTGGTGGTGGTGGGGTGGGGTGGGGGTGGGGTGATGTGGATGGTGGTGAGAGGGGTGGGGGGGGTGGGGGGGGGGGTGATGATGATGGGGGGGATGGTGAGGGGGTGGGGGGTGGTGGGGTGGTTGATGGTGAGGGGGGTGTGTAGGGGGTGTGTGGTGGTGAGGTGGGGTGGTGTTGGGGGGGTGGGGTGGGTGTGTGAGGTGTTGGGGGGAGTGGGTGTGGGGGATGTTTATGGTGGTGTTGTGATGATGGGGGTGTGGTGATGTGGGGTGGTGGGGGATGGTGGTTGTGTGAAAGTTTGGTGGGGGTGGAGGTTGGTGATGTGGTGGGTGGTGGTGTGTGGTGGTGGTGATGGGGTGTGGGTGTGGTGGTGGTGGTGGGGTGGTGAGTGGATGATGGTGTGATGTTTGGGGGTAGATGATGATGGGATGATTGTGGTGGTGTATGTGGATGATGGTGTGGTGAAGGATGATGATGATTGGTGGTGATGTGATGGATGATTTTTGGTGTGTATGGTGATGGTGATGGTTAATGTGATTGTGATGATGTGATTTATGGGTTTTTATGATGATGATTGTTTATGATGATGGGTGGATGTGTGTGGGTGTGATTGTTGGATGATTTGGGGGTGATGTGGGTGGGGAGGGGTGTTGGGTGATGGTGTTGTGTGATGGATGTGGGATGATGATTGTTGGTGGTGATGATGGGGATGGTGTGGTGAGGTGATGGGGATGGTGTTTATGGGATGGTGATGTTGTGAGTGTTGATGATGGTTTATGATTTGGTGATTGTTGGGTTATAATGTTAGTTGGATTGGTGATTTATGTTTTTTGGGTAATGGTTTTGGGGGGGTTGGATGTTGGGTGTGGATGGGAATTTTGTTGTGTTAATTTAAGTTGGTGGGAAGGGTGTTTATGGAAGGTGAAGAGAAAGGGTGTATTAGAAGATAATAGAGGGAAAAGTGGAAATTTTTTTAATTTTTTTTAAAATTTAATAAAGGGGAAAAGTGTTATTTATGAGAGGGTCAAATTTTTTTAAATTGAGTAAAAAATATGTTTGATTTTGGGGATTTTTGCTTTTGGGGGTTTATTTTTATTGGTTTTAGAGGAAACTGTTATTTAATTATTTTATTTATATTGGAGATTTTTAATTGAAGTTTTATTTGAGGGGAAGAGTTTGGGTTAGTGATATGGATGAGGGGGGGAAGGGGGGTTTTGGGGGGAAAAGGGAAGAGGAAGGAAAGGGGGAATGGGGGGGCAAGGGGGGAAGGGGAAGGGGAAAAGGGGAGGGGGGAAGTAGGGGGAAAAGGGGGGAGGGGAAAAGGGGATGAGAGGGTCAGGGGGAAAAGGAGGAAGGGGGAAAGGGGAAAAAAAAGATGATGGTGATGATGATGATGGTGATGATGATGGTGGAATTCAAGTTGTGAATCAAGTTGATTCACATTTTTCATCTTTTATCAAGATTTATATTTTCATAGGATGGCGGTGATTTGACCTGCAGCCTCGTGGAGCGGACACATTCTAGATTAAAATGCTAGGATGAGCTGCTCTATGGGAGACGTTCGACTGGAAGCTGAGCCTGTTGGTTTGTTCTCTATTTTACTGGTTTGACTGGAAAGAACTGGAGTTTCCATCACAGAGAAACAAATGAGAGGAAAACAAACTGGTTTGCTTCATTAGAATCATTGATAAAAACCAATAAAAACAGCGACTGAACGAAAAAACATGATGAATCTCCTCATGGTCTAGAAGCTCTAGATCTGAAGCAGCTGCTGATGATTTAAATTCAACATGAAGAAAAACAAACGATTCTCTTTGAAATCTTCTTTATTTCTTCTGCTCCAGTTTCACAATAAAAGCTGATTTTCTGGGTTTACAGTCAAGCTCACAGTCAGCAGCATCTATGTTCTATTTTCTATCCTGGTACAATTTCTGAAGCTCACAGGAGAAAAACCTTCTTTAGATTAAAACAGTTTTACTTTCATTCTCATGTCAGAGGAAAAAAGAAACGCTTTCCTTCAAAACATCGAACATTTTTCACCTCGACACAGAATCCAGAGAAGCTTCCTTCCTGAGGAGTAGAGATGATAGAGGAGGAAACAAGGAGGAAATGAGGGGGAAACAAGGGGGAGACGAGGAGGAAACAAGAGGGAAACAAGGAGGAAACAAGGGCGAAGTGAGGAGGAAACAAGGGGGAAACAAGGAGGAAACGAGGAGGAAACAAGGGGGAAGTGAGGAGGAAACAAGGGGGAAACAAGGAGGAAACAAGGGGGAAACAAGGAGGAAATGAGGAGGAAACAAGGGGGAAACAAGGAGGAAACGAGGAGGAAACAAGGGGGAAGTGAGGAGGAAACAAGGGGGAAACAAGGAGGAAACGAGGAGGAAACAAGGGGGAAGTGAGGAGGAAACAAGGGGGAAACAAGGAGGAAACAAGGGGGAAACAAGGAGGAAATGAGGAGGAAACAAGGGGGAAACAAGGAGGAAACAAGGGGGAAACAAGGAGGAAATGAGGAGGAAACAAGGGGGAAACAAGGAGGAAACAGAGGAAACATCAACAAAGAAACAAGGAGGAAACGAGAGGAAAACAACAAAGATATGAGGAGGATACGAGGACACAAGGAGCTCCCAGCTTCAGTTCGCCTGTTTTAGGGAAACTTGTTTCTCTTTCATTCCTGTAAAGTTCAGGTTATTTGTTCATGTTTCCTACCTTAACGTGTTTGATCACTAAAACCTACTTTAACCTTTTTTTTATCCTTTTATATGTTTTCTATTTTATTTTATTTTTTACCATTTTACGTATCAGCACAGACCCCCCCCCCCCCCCACTATGCTGGTCAATCAAATAAATTAATTAGCATAACGATCCATATATTCTCATATTGATTAAATACTCAGATCTTTTATATGAAATTTCTATTCACTAAAGTGGAGCAAAGGTCTGCTTCGTTCCGTCCCATAATGCATTGCAGCAATCCTCCTTTCTGATTAGATAAACATGAGCCTTTGTTTTATAATAAATCCCATAAATTAAAATAATTCCAGAAGTATGTTTAATAAATGTCAGTTTGGCAACATTTTATTTTTACATCAGTTCTTCTGCAGATTTTCATACATGTCGCGTCAAAGATAACATTTCTGTCTTTTAACATATCAAATTTCATATTCTTAATTTCTATAGAACTGCAAATCAAGATGTTGTTGACAGATGTATGGAAACATTTCATTGCATGGGGGGGGGGGTTATTTTTCCATTTCATGTTATTTTGTCATAATGTTACCTTTATTGCTATATGTGTTTTATTTTTACTGATGTCAGTTGTTGGTAACCATAGCAACTACTCCGCTGTTAGCACGAGGCTACTTCCTGGTTTAGCTTCTGCTCACATGCTCAGTAAAACATGCAGGAATATTTCTGACTGATAGTGAATTATTTCCAGTGGTTCTACTTTCACATTTCTAACATTCGGTGAATAATTCAGGTAAACGAGGCAGAAATGCTCGTTATTATTAAGTGAACGTAAATAAACTACTTTTCTAAAGTGTTTTAATTTCAACTGATTATTTTACTGTTCATCAGAATCAATCATTATCTCTACTTAAGACCAACAACTTGGTTCTAAGTAGAGATCTATTTATTTATGATCTAACTAAACCGTGTTGAATCAAAGGATGAAGTTAGCGTTTAAAGGGCAACTCACCCCATTCTGCAGCTTTAACTCCACCTACAGCTAATATTTGAAAAAACGCTCCTAATGGAAGCGGCGGACCAGCTGAGACGCCCGTCCACTGAGCAGGAACAGTTTTTAGATGATGGTTTTATCCAGATTAGACGGTTACATCACTTATTCTGGGTGATGTCACAATAACAGCAGAGCTAGCATCATTACTGGCTCAGAATCAGATGCAGGCCTCTGGTTAAACCTGAGGAGGGCGCCAGGGAGACGGTTTTAGACTCGAAAGACAAAGAGAAGGCTGATTTTGGGGTGAGTCGTCCTTTATGGTCGCTGTCTGGGTCTTAGACTACATTCTGGTCACTGGAGGCTTCAGCCTTCGGTTGGTCCAACAGCGACTGCTGAGCTGCAGAGAGAAAAAAGGACAAATCACAGAGAGCAGGGTTAGCATGGTTAGCATGCTGAGCTACATGCTAAACGCAGCTCTGCTAAACCACGACCGCTTCGTTTGATCCTGACAGGAAGTCAGACAGATGCAGGCGGTCAGAGCAGAGCTGCACAGAGCAGGAGGCAGGGTGGACAAACAGGCGGGAAAACAAACAGATGTAAACTTGCAGAAAACCAAGAAACAAGCAGCAAAGTTTTGTGATTCAAGCAGGAGAAATGAAACAGGAAATGACATCAGAGCGATTAAAAGTCAAAATAAAAGAATTATTTGAAAGGTAGCGGTGCTTTTATTCTGAAAAGCCGAACGGCCTGAACATGGCTGTTTCTATTTACCGTGAGGTTCTGCTGCCACCTGTCCAGGGATCTCCGCCTTGTTCAGGTCCAGGTCCAGACTCTCTGCCATGACATCAACATTCACACGTTACCGTGGTGACAGCAACGATCAAACGTCAGTCGGTCTGCGGGTCATTGTTCAATTATTAATGAGTTCATTAAGCTGAATTATCCCCATCATGGAGGAGGAGGAACCTTACGCTGGAGGCTGAAGCACAACTTCTTCTTCTGGTAGGAGATGTAGCTGCTGATGGCTCCAACCAGAGCCACGCTGACGGCGCTGATGATCCCTGCGATGGTGCCCACCTCCGCCGTCATCTCTGCAGACAGAAAGGATCAGCTGGTTCCAGCAGCACGGCGGAGCGAGCGGAGCACAGACTGAGACTCACCGCTGTTTCCATCGTAGCTCTGGCTGCTGTCGTCTTTCTGGCCGTAACCTGAGGAAACAGATGGCTTTGAATCTGAGGGGAAACCTTAACCCTGATCAACAGTCTGGGATAAAATCCAACCTTTCCCTTTGTCCGGTTTGTAGCCTTTATCTTTGCTCACATCCTCCAGGTCAGTGTCGGAAAAACCACCTGAGGAGAAAAACCAACCAGGAAGATGAACAGCAGCACGAGTTTAAGAAGAGAAGCGTATCGTCATGGAAACTGGAGGATTTTCCTTTTGACCAATCAGCTTCCACAGGTGATGATGTTTCCAGTAACTTTCTTTCTAAGTTGGAAAAATCAGATTTTCTGGAACCGACTTTGTTTTCTGCTTTTAAGACCAAAATTTAACTGAAGGTTTTTATTTGAACTAAATCTTAAAAATATAAAAAAAATCTAATATCAGCTGTGCTGCTGCCATCAACACCTTTGTTTCTAGATGTTGGAGCTTGGCCTGTTTTCCAGTGTAGTCCTGTTTCTCTGACTGTGACTAACTGGATGTGCTCTCTTCATCCTCTGACATGGGAGCTGGCTCGGAGCTCGTCTGCCTGGCTGTGTGTTTCCTGGACGGGGCCGCCTGTGGAGCTGGTTGACAGCTGCCTTTTGTATCTATGCTTCTTTTTCTACTTTTAGCAGTTTAAATTCTGAATATGACCAAATTTTTTCTTTAAAGATGAGTCAGTTGGGCCTGTTGCTCAGTGTTTAGTCCTGTTTCTCTCCTAGACATAGCTATGAGCTCAGCTTTCTGTGTGACTGACTGGATGTCTCTCTTTTATCCTTTTTGACATTAAAACTGTCTCAGATTTTGTCTGATTAACAGTTTCTTTCCCAGACAGAACCACCTATGGAGCTAGCTTACCGTTAGCTTTTCTAGCATAGAAAGTATTTATAGATCAGTGCCTCCATGTTCCTTTTTCTATGTCTGCTTCTGTCTCCTTGAACCCCAGTGGGCCTCAGCAGATGGCCGCTCACACTGAGCCTGGTTCTGCTGGAGGTTTCTTCCTGTTCAAAGGGAGTTTTTCCTCTCCACTGTCGTTACAAGCATGCTTAGTGTGAGGGATTGCTGAAGAGTCAATGAGTCGATGCAATCAGCTGGTTTTCCTTAGATAGAAAACCAAGAATCAATCTGACTGGATGATCTGGTGAACTGGAAAGTGACCTAAGATGACATGATGTGAATTGGAGCTATAGAAATAAACTGAATAGAATGAAACCAGTGAGAACCATGAAGCACATGGTAAGCGAAACGAATCCCAAATAAAAATAAACTCCTCTCTTTTTTACTCTGATTTTTTGTGGTCGATCATTTGATCTTTTATTGCTTAATAAAAACCAGCGTCTCTGAATAAAATGTCTATAAATTCAATAATCAGCCACTTCCTGTTTCTGTTTCTGCATCCAGAGAGATTACAGTAAAGACTGATGGCAGGAAACAATCTGAACTGTCCTGATGTTTCCATTAGTTTGTTTTTTATTCTTTTTTATTTTCACATGATTTCATAAAATTCATTATTTATAGATTCCTCATTTCGCTCCTGAATAAAAAAACTCACCTCCTGGTTTCTGGTTTTCATCCAAAGCATCAGCCAGATTAAAGTCGTTTCCGCCTGCAGAGATCAGAGGATTAACCATCGACTGAGCAACTTTATAACTTTAACTCCAACCGAATGATTATTAATCGGATCTATTTCCTGCATCAGATGAGCCGTTAACCCATTAGAGCCCAGATCCGTTTCTGAACCGCAGGCTTTGATCTGTCGTCTTTAACCCTATCCTCACCGTACCTTCGTTTCACTTTTGGAAATGAATCTTTAAACATTTCATTCAATTTTTTTTCTGCTCCTTACTGACTGATGATCGCAGCGTCTTAACCTCTAATATTAAAAAAATGGCGCTTTTAATGGTGTTGCTATGGAAACCTGAACATCAGATAACCCAAAGTTAAAGGGTTTGTTTCCACTGATGGCGCTAACGGTTTGGCTAGCTGTGAACCAGCGCCGGTCTGTCCGTCCTCCATGTTCTTCAGGTCTGGCAGGGTTTCTAAGAACCGCGATCAGAAACTAGAAAATAAAAAATGTTCAGCTAAGATCTACCGTCTGTTAGCTAGCGCTGCGATGGCCTCGCTCACCTGGACTGGACTGAGGCTTCTTAGGCCGGACCTTAGCGGGAGCTTTGGTGGTGGTTCTCGATGTGGAGCCGACGTTCAACAAATCCTCCAGAGAAATCCCTGCAGAAAACCAGAGAACAGCACAACCTAAACACCAGTTCACCCTCACCAGTTCACCGTCACATTTCACTGTCACCAGTTCACTAATTCACCATTATTGTTCACCATCACCAGTTCACCGTCATTGTTTACCGTCACCAGTTCACCATCACCAGTTCACCGTCATTGTTTACCGTCACCAGTTTACCATCATTGTTCACCATCATCAGTTCATCATAACTGTTCACCATCATTGTTTACATCACTAGTTCACCATCACCAGTTCACCATCATTGTTTACATCACTAGTTCACCATCACCAGTTCACCATCACCAGTTCACCCAGTTTCTTTTCGTTGGCTTCCATCTCACGGTGCTGCTCTGAGAACCAACAGCTGTAGTTCCACTGGGTGGTCAACCAACTCACCTTTAGTGAGTGAGATGGTCAAAACTCCATGCTAACATTAGCCCTCCTAGCTATCTCCATGCTAACATTAGCCCTCCTAGCTATCTCCATGCTAACATTAGCCCTCCTAGCTATCTCTAACATTAGCCCTCCTTGCTATCTCCATGCTAACATTAACCCTCCTTGCTATCTCCATGCTAATATTAGCCCTCCTTGCTATCTCCATGCTAACATTAGCCCTCCTTGCTATCTCCATGCTAACATTAGCCCTCCTAGCTATCTCCATGCTAACATTAGCCCTCCTAGCTATCTCCATGCTAACATTAGCCCTCCTTGCTATCTCCATGCTAACATTAACCCTCCTTGCTATCTCCATGCTAACATTAGCCCTCCTAGCTATCTCCATGCTAACATTAGCCCTCCTACCTATCTCCATGCTAACATTAACCCTCCTTGCTATCTCCATGCTAACATTAGCCCTCCTAGCTATCTCCATGCTAACATTAGCCCTCCTAGCTATCTCCATGCTAACATTAGCCCTCCTTGCTATCTCCATGCTAACATTAGCCCTCCTAGCTATCTCCATGCTAACATTAGCCCTCCTAGCTATCTCCATGCTAACATTAACCCTCCTTGCTATCTCCATGCTAATATTAGCCCTCCTTGCTATCTCCATGCTAACATTAGCCCTCCTAGCTATCTCCATGCTAACATTAGCCCTCCTTGCTATCTCCATGCTAACATTAGCCCTCCTAGCTATCTCCATGCTAACATTAGCCCTCCTAGCTATCTCCATGCTAACATTAGCCCTCCTTGCTATCTCCATGCTAACATTAACCCTCCTTGCTATCTCCATGCTAATATTAGCCCTCCTTGCTATCTCCATGCTAACATTAGCCCTCCTAGCTATCTCCATGCTAACATTAGCCCTCCTTGCTATCTCCATGCTAACATTAACCCTCCTTGCTATCTCCATGCTAATATTAGCCCTCCTAGCTATCTCCATGCTAACATTAACCCTCCTAGCTATCTCCATGCTAACATTAGCCCTCCTAGCTATCTCCATGCTAACATTAGCCCTCCTAGCTATCTCCATGCTAACATTAGCCCTCCTAGCTATCTCCATGCTAACATTAGCCCTCCTTGCTATTTCCATGCTAACATTAGCCCTCCTTGCTATCTCCATGCTAACATTAGCCCTCCTTGCTATCTCCATGCTAACATTAGCTCTCCTTGATATCTCCATGCTAATATTAGCCCTCCTACCTATCACCATGCTAACATTAGCCCTCCTTGCTATCTCCATGCTAACATTAGCCCTCCTAGCTATCTCCATGCTAACATTAGCCCTCCTAGCTATCTCCATGCTAACATTAGCCCTCCTTGCTATTTCCATGCTAACATTAGCCCTCCTTGCTATCTCCATGCTAACATTAGCCCTCCTTGCTATCTCCATGCTAACATTAGCTCTCCTTGATATCTCCATGCTAATATTAGCCCTCCTACCTATCACCATGCTAACATTAGCCCTCCTTGCTATCTCCATGCTAACATTAACCCTCCTTGCTATCTCCATGCTAATATTAGCCCTCCTTGATATCTCCATGCTAATATTAGCCCTTCTACCTATCACCATGCTAACATTAGCCCTCCTAGGTATCACCTTGCTAACATTAGCCCTCCTTCCTATCACCTTTCTAACATTAGCCCTCCTTGCTATCTCCATGCTAACATTAGCCCTCCTTGCTATCTCCATGCTAACATTAGCCCTCCTTGCTATTTCCATGCTAACATTAGCCCTCCTTGCTATCTCCATGCTAACATTAGCTCTCCTTGCTATCTCCATGCTAACATTAGCCCTCCTTGCTATTTCCATGCTAACATTAGCCCTCCTTGCTATCTCCATGCTAACATTAGCCCTCCTTGCTATCTCCATGCTAACATTAGCCCTCCTTGCTATCTCCATGCTAACATTAACCCTCCTTACTATCTCCATGCTAACATTAGCCCTCCTAGCTATCACCTTGCTAACATTAGCCCTCCTTGCTATCACCTTGCTAACATTAGCCCTCCTTGCTATCACCTTGCTAACATTAGCCCCCCTTGCTATCTTCATGCTAACATTAGCCCTCCTTGCTATCACCTTGCTAACATTAGCCCCCCTTGCTATCTTCATGCTAACATTAGCCCTCCTTGCTATCACCTTGCTAACATTAGCCCCCCTTGCTATCTTCATGCTAACATTAGCTCTCCTTGCTATCGCTTTGCTAACATTAGCTCTCCTTGCTATCGCTATGCTAACATCAGCGAGTCAGTGTTTCTTCTTGTTTTTCCTGATTGTGTCAGAGATCAGGAAACGACGGTAAACCAACCATAGCGACCAGCTACTGTTGCTAATGCTACGTCCCTGTGAATGTGCATAAAGACAGTAAATTATTATACTTGTCTCACATAAAAGGATCAGAATGACTCTAATTAATGTAATTCTCTTAAACAAATAAAATGTGATTTCAAACTGCAGAGGTCAGTCAGTGATGCAGAGGTCATGCTGCACATCTCACCTTTTCCGGGCCTCGATGTCGGAGCTGCAGTGAAAAACAGACGATGGAGAAACATGAACGCTGCTCCAACCATGAAGGAAACATCTAAACTAGATGACGTTACTGCAGATCAACCACAAACTAACTTCCTGTTTCTGTGAGCTCCTGAAACAGGAAGAACTTCACCGCTAAGCTAACTCAGACATAAAACGGATTTATGGTTTTTACAGAAACTCAAAGGAATCCATCAGTTCTGGTGTGAACATGGATGAAACCTTACCTGGTTTGTTCCCGTCATCCAGAGCATCCGTCAGGTCAAAGTCCCCCTGAGACACGACTGCAGGACAAAGAGCAGAAGAAGAAGACGGTTAAAGTTTGGGATCCAAGCTAACGCTCAGATTCCTCATCCTTCCATCACAATCAGCCCAAACGTCATGATGTGACTCTGCTGGGATGCAGCGTCCTCCATGACCGGATCCTGGTGAACCATGGAGAGCGCCGTGAAAACATGACGACCTCTGACCCCAAACATTTTCAACCTGCTTGGATGGGTTCAGGTTCACCTCGTGGTCAGAGAAACCTTCAGCTGAGGAAGATCTCAGGAGGACCAATCAGAGAGCAGGAACCTGGATGCAGGGATGGCGCCCCCTCTGGTTGGACAGCAGATTTTCTGACTGTGAAGCGTTCAGACGGAGCAGATTCCTCCAGGGTTCAGTGATCGTTTCAGGGTTTGATTCTGATCGATTCCACAAACAATCAATTTTGGAGGAAAATCCAGACTTTTCTTTGCTCAGTGGTCTAAAATCAATCCTCTGGACTTTGTTTCCAAGTTTGAAGACGTTTCTCTTCCATCCAGGAAGATTTTTCAATTCAAAATGTCAGAAATAGCGTTTAGTTCCAGGTTTTATCCAGCAGCCCCTTAGAATGACTCTGACCTGGATGACTGAGAATCTGCACCAGCAGCTAAAGTGCTGCAGACTGAGAGCTTCAGCAGATCTGAATTTAAGAGTTTTATCTGTTTACGTTACACAGGACTAGAGTCAAGATGGCTGCTGTGTGGGAGGAGGCACCACCGAGCTCCAACCAATGAAAATTAATGGTTGAAATTTCTCAGCAGCTGGTTGGTAGCAGACACCGTTAAAATAGTTTATAACCATCTAAGGACGACGTCTGGTGAAGAAATGGGCCCAAGATCTGGAGGAGATACAGAAACTTCTGGATTCATATAAAACCAAAAGAATTATGAGAAATTAATTAGAGAATTTAAGGAAAATCAATCAAATATCAGAATTAATTGGTATTTTATAAATAAGATCATAAAAGTTCTAGTTTTACTAGAAGCGAAAGACCAGCCTGTCTAATGAGATTTCAATAAATTTAATAAATAATTTACTGAGTTGAACAAAATGGATCAATTCTGATCATGATCACCAAGATATCGTAGGAAAAATGACTAAATAATAACTAATTTACATAAAACTATATCAAGTTTAACTGAAAAGGAAATGATTGTTAAAAGATTTAAAAGTAAAAACTCAGAAGGATAAAAAACGTTATTAAAAATTAAACCACATCTGGAATCAGAGTTCAGCAGGTTTCCTAAAAGAGTTTAACCAGATTTATAAAGATGGAAACAAGCCGGACTTTAAAAAATATCGGAGGAAATAATAAAAGATGATATAATTTTACCGTAAAATAAGATGATATCTGCGAACAGCGATAACGGTTCAGGTCTGATAGGATCACTGCTCTGCAAACGACGTCTGATGATAAACAATAAACTCTGCAGAGGGATTTTAATCCTGTTAATAATAAATTATTACTTTATAAATGTTTAGATATGGAATCAGGCTCTTTCTTAGATTAATAGTTATTTAGAGAATAGATGAAAAAACATTAAAAATACTGATTCAGTTACTGACAATGACCACTGGTCTCCTGTAGGGGTCAGTGTTGCATCCTTTATCATTTTCTTTCTATGAATTATTTAAGTTTAGCCTAAAAAAATATTATATTTTATATTATTATAATATGGAGACAATTGAAAAAGAATGAAATACATAAAAGTGTTTGTTTGATTCAAACAAATTAACCTTAAATCTAAAGAAAAATACATTTATAATATTCATAATTCAAATGAGAGTTCATTAAAATGTGGATAAAGCAGATTATAGAGAGCAAACAAACCAACTTTAGATTAAAAACTGTAAAATATAAATATCTGCTTTTAAATTTAAATAATAATTTGCTGCCAAATTCAGGGTCTGTTTTTGATCTTAGAGGGAAAAAAAGGTTCAGAAAATCAGAAACAAGAAGAAACGAGATTTATGGAAGAATGTAGATCAGGAACGAATAGACTGTACAACATTAACGAGGTTTAAAAACATGATAGTGTTATTATGAATCACGTGATGTAATATATTAGCTGTTAAACGTCAGTTTATCTCTGCTGGGGTCACCAGGTGCTGCTGCCTGTCTGTCATTGGGCGAGAGGCGGGTTCACCTGGACAGGTAAACTGGCTCTGACCTTTGCCCTAAATCTTCTTACTGTAGAATAACTATATAAAAGGCGGCCATCTTTTTCCTGTTTCTAGTCCATCAGCAGCTCATTGTTAATAAATTATTTTTTTATGTTTGTGTGTCTAAAATAAAAATCCCAATAATCACTAATAGTTCAAACCTTTTATTGTTAAAGTCGCAGAAATCTGTGAATAAACTCAGAGTTTCTTCTCTTTGTGGAGAAAAATTATTACAGTTTAAAAAGAAAAATAAAGAACTCGGTTAAAAAATGAAATTTAAAGGCAATGTTTAAATAAAATAAAACTCTTGAGTTTCCAGATTTTTCCTTCTTTTCTTCAGCTGATTAAAGTTCATCCAAACATGGAAGCTCTTCCTGTTTTATTGCTGCATCTATGTATTAAATATCTGCATCTTCTTCTGTCATTGCATTTTATTTCTGTAAAGTTCGATCATTAAAAATAACGACATGATAAACCTGCAAATTTTCTTTGAACAAAGTAGAAATATTTCTTTCAAAGGAAAATTAAAAAAAGGTTTAGCATCTATTGGCTCCTCTGCCTCGCGCCATCACGGTTGCTAGGCGACCGAAGTTCTGCTGAGGTAAGGGCTGGATGGGATGGCTGCTGATGACTTCCGGCCTTTGTGTCTGTGGGAAACACCCAGAGCTCCTCCACTGGGCTGCAGGCATCTTCTATGAGCATCAGCGGATTATTAGGAACCAGATTCATTTCTGGAACCAGACAGACTCAATGATGGAGGCATCAAACATTAAGCTGTTGGTGCAGCAGAGCGACTGATCATGAGGCTGCAGGTCTGCAGCAGGTGCAGCAGACCTGCAGCAGACCTGCTGCAGAGCTTCCCTGTGTTCCTCCTACCTTGCAGCGGCAGCAGCAGCAGCAGCAGCAGAGTCCAAACAGGCCGGGACTTCAGCATGACTGCAGCCTGATCTTCTGCTCCTGGTTTCCCTGCAGATGATCACAGCGGAGCATCAAGTGCTGCGTTCAGGGACCCGCCCACAGCGGAACACTTCCTGCTGCTTTTCAGCATAAAACACGGAAATAACCCAAGTACATCCCGCTGCAGCCTGCGGGAAAGCGGGGCTTGACATCAAGAGAAATGGCCAAAAAAATGTGTTATGTCACATGGTATGTCTGTCACCCGGCTTATTCCAATGCCATTCCAAAAAGATTAATTAGATCTATCAACCAAAATTTCATTTGGAGAAATAGACCACATTATATGAAGAAAAGCAGTATGGTTAAAGACGCAAAAGATGGGGGTCTCAAAGTTATTGATTTTGACTGTCTAAATGGGACCATAAAAATAAATTGGTTAAAATCTTGGATCAAACACAGCAACTCCTTTGGTTTTGTATTCCAAGGTCCTTGTTCAAGAAAATTGGAGGATTGGATTTTCTTCTTAGAGCGGACTTTAATGTTGACAAATTGCCAATAACACTATCAGAGTTTCACAAACAAATCCTCTTGTACTGGAAAATGTTATATGTGCATAACTTCTCACCCCACACAACTGTTCTCTGGAACAACAGATATATTCTGCACCGCAGCAAATCTTTGTTCTTTGAAGACTGGTATGGGAGAAATATATGGTCCATAGTAGATTTAATGGATGCCAACGGAGCCTTTTATAATTATAAACAATTTTGCATTAAACATCATTTCAAACCTTTAGAGTCAGACTTTAACAAATTACATAGAGCACTACCCCAGGAATTTGTTTTTTTAATCAAAAATACTTTGGCATATCATCCAATTCACCCACAATTAGCTACTCTGTCAATTCAAGGGATTAACATTATGGATAGGAAATGCACTAACCATTTTATCAGAAACTGTTTTAATGAATACCTTTACCCTGAAAGACAAAATAAAAATAACATCCTACAAAAATTTGATAAAAGCTCAATAACTAAACTAAGAACAATGTATCTAGCACTTCCTATACCCCCAAAGGTGAAAGAAACACACTTCAAAATAATGAACAACATTTACCCCTCTAAAGAATTATTGAGACTTCGCTTTGGAATAGATGATAACACATGTACGTTCTGTGAAAATGACATTGAAACTACGGACCATGTTTTCTTCTCATGTTCAGTGGTGCAAACATTTTGGAGTGATTTGCATAGGTGGATTAAACAACAACAATTTTCATTCCCAACCGTTATTTCCAGGGACGATATCACTTTTGGTCTAATATTGCAAAGTAAAACTGATGAGCTCTGTATTAATACGATTGTATGTCTAGCTAAATTTTTCATTCATAAATGTAGAATTGTCAAATCATCTCCCGAACTTGTTGTTTTTTTAAACGAGTTTAAGCTATATATAAAATCATTAAAGTTTCTGAAAGGTTCTAAAGCACAAAAAATATATGATACCCTAAAACGCTTCCCTACAGAAGTAAACAGCTAAAACAAAGACTGAATTCTCCCCTCATGTTATACTTTCTTATTTTCCTTTACCTATATTATTGTTTTTATTTTAAAATTATCCTTATAAATTTCTATTTTATTTATTTATTTGGTTTTATGTCTTTGATGTTTATGTTAACAGCCCTCTATAGCAAGTCTATGTTATAGATATATTTCAATCTGTGTGAAGAGTTGTTCCCCCTGGCTATATTTTCTATGTAACCTAACTTGAAGAAACGAAATCTATGCAGCCATGTTTGTCTGTAAATTTTGAAGTTTTCAATAAAAAAAAAAAAAAAAAAAAAAAGGGAAGGCCTGTTACGTGGTATGTCCTTTTTATTTTTAAATCTTTATTAAATTTTCTGATGTTAAAATAAAACTAGTAACAAACAGTCTAAAATAAACAACAATAAGGAATTATTATGAAGATGTAATTATCTATCCTCAAACCCTATGAAAAACATATGTCATAAAAAGTAAATTAAATTGGTAGTTTAGAGACAAATGTACATTACATTGAGGACACATTTATCTATCCAATAATTCTCATACACGCACACTTATCCCTATAGTGGTGTCGTTAGGGCTGGTGCAGTGGATTCTGGACAGATTCCCAGTCCATCGCAGATTAAGAAAAAATCTATCCATCAAATTTCTGACCAGCTTAATCCCTCATGGGGTCGCGGGGGTTGCTCGTGCCTATCTCCAGCGTTGATTAAGAAAAGCAATATAACCAAATACTTGCTGGTGCTGAAGTTCAAATAATATTATAATATGAGTAGACCCCACATTGGCTGTCGCGGCACAGGAATTACGGCCGCCATATTGGGGCGGTCGACCTGCTACTCAAACCTACTGATTCAAGCTGAACACACTAATGATGCCTCAGCACTGTGCGGCGTATTTTTGTTTAAATTTACAGACTATTTACGTCAGGGCTCGAGGGATAACTTTTCACAATTAAGATGAAAACATATCTTTACATATATCTTTATATATATCTTCTTATATGTCTATGTGCTTCCCTGCCCTGTTACGTCAGCATTTCCAATATGGCTGTCTTTGATGTGAATTTGACTGAACCACGAAAATGGACCCGCAGGGCAACCATGTATAAATATTAGTGCGCATGCCCAACATTTCGTCGCCTGTTTTCGCCTATTTTTGCTTTGGCACCACAGCGCCACTTACAGGCCTGGCATACATTTTGCAGCATTTTCATGCATTCGTGTGGACGATCACATTTATTTTACGTCTCCGTCTTTATGACAAACGTTCTGGAAAATATTAGCGTTTCGTGTGGACGGGGCCTAAATGACCTGCAGGTATGGAGGGACATAAATATGAAATTAAATCTGCAATTAAATGAAAACATAATAAATAATAAATCAAGTGAGTGTCCTATGAAATAAATGAATTTATTTATTTATCCATTAAATTACTAAACAGCTAAATGCATCATTAGATCAGGAATATAAAATTACATCAAATCATTTAAATGAGCAGAATTAGAGTCTAAATTATCACATAAATAATAAAATGCCATCAGGACATTTCTTTATCAGTCATCAAACTGAGTGGGCGGGGCCAGGGCAGCTGGCCTCTGATTGGCTGCTTCTCACTGAGTGAACTTCCTCCTGTTAGTTTGTTTTATCCTGAGGAAAATATTTTTATGGAAAAGGTGAAAATCAGAGATAATAGAAGAATAGACCCGCATTGATTGCTTGCTCCTACTGGCGCTGACATGAGCTGGTGGCGCCATCTTGGGAAGTTCGACAACTCAGTTCAGTGTGATGAGTTGAGCAGGAACAGAATCTATTTTAATCAACTTTAACTTTCTGAATATTGAACTAATTTTCACGGTTTTGTTTTTATGCTGAAAAAAAAAAGTAATTGTTCAGTTTATTGAAATAATACTTTTAGTGAAGTTAAGAGTAACAGAATATTCTGATAGGATGGATGTTGCAAAGAACAGCCGCTCAGACATTTGTATATATATATTTTTTTACTGTATGCAAATATATTTAGACAGGTATCCACAAATATATAAGCACATCTCTCTCTCTCTCTCTCTCTCTCTCTCTCTCTATATATATATATATATATATATATATATATATATATATATATATATATTTATATATATATATATATATGTATATATATATATATATATATATATATATGTATATATATATATATATATATATATATATATATATATATATATATATATATATATATATATATATATATATATAGGAGAATAAGAATAATCCTTGATATCTTTTTAATTCAGTTGCCAAACTCACCCATAACCATAGCTCTGTTGAACCACCTGCTGATTTTATGGGATTCTTTATAAATAAGATTGATCTTATTAAAAATAAGATCATTAGCACTCCTCTATCCGCGATTGGTTTATCTCTGGAGGGGGGGGCAGCAAGCACAAGTGTGCGATCACTTCCACCATAATGAACTTTTTGAAGAGTTTCAGTCTGGCTTTAGAGCTCATCATAGCACTGAAACAGCTCTGGTGAAAGTCACTAATGATATTCTCGTGGCCTCAGATAATGGACTTGTATCTGTGCTCGTCCTGTTGGATCTCAGTGCTGCATTTGATCCAGTTGATCAGAATATTCTTTTAGAAAGACTTGAATATTTTGTTGGAATTAAAGGAACAGCTCTAGACTGGTTTAAATCTGATCTATCTGATCGATTTCAGTTTGTTCATGTTAATGATAGATCTTCAACACGCTCAAAGGTTACCTGTGGAGTACCACAGGGATCAGTGCTAGGACCAATTCTCTTTACTTTATACATGCTCCCAATTGGTAGAGTTATTAGACAGCATGGGATTAATTTCCACTGTTATGCTGATGATACCCAGCTATATCTGTCTATAATCCAGATGAAGCTAACCCATTACATAGATTACAGGCATGTCTTGAAGACATAAAAACCTGGATGACTCTTAACTTTCTGCTTTTGAATGCAGACAAAACAGAAGTTATAGTCTTTGGACCAGAGTCTCTGAAAAAGAAGCTGATTAGCCAGTCACTTCATTTGGATGGGATTAAACTGATTTCAGATAATAAAGTAAAAAATCTTGGTGTTGTTTTTGATCAGGACCTGTCATTTAAATCCCAGATCAAAGAGGTTTCTAGAATTTCCTTCTTTCATCTGAGGGACATTGCAAAAATGAGAAATCTCCTGTCCAGGGGTGATGCTGAGAAACTAGTCCATGCATTTGTTACTTCAAGGCTGGACTATTGTAATTCTTTACTATCAGGAAGTCCACAAACTGTAGTTAAAAGCCTTCAGCTGATCCAAAATGCTGCAGCCAGAGTTCTAATGAAAATGAAAAAGAGAGATCATATCTCTCCTATCCTGGCTTCTCTTCATTGGCTTCCTGTTAAATCCAGAATAGAATTTAAAATCTTCCTGTATTATGAAATTTAGGCAGGATCGGGATAAGTCGATAATAAAGATGACACACGGAACACACACACTGTTTCTGCTAGAGTAAAATGTGTCGTTTTATTCCGCCACAGAACACAGCAAAGCAAGCACATCAACCAAGGCACTGTGCTGAATACAAA